TCCACCAATAAAATATGATGTAGATTTTAATTCACGCTTTTTCATTCAAAAGGTAGAATTTTAATTAACATTATTTGTATTATTTTTTGAAAAATATTCATGTTTATTAATTACTTTCTACAGCTATGCAAGTCTATATTAAGACAGCATTAAATGTTTACTTTAATCTGTACTTTCAATCTCAAGAATCAAAACATTTTTAAAAATGTCATTTCAAATGTGTTGGAATTTAACACACACCAAAAAAGTAATTTCATTAACTAAAATTAATTAATGCAGCAATTTATTTAAATTAAATTTTAATACTAAGAAAAGAAAATAATAAAAGTATCAAAAATTTAAAACACTGTTTTTTGACTTTTAAAATCAATATATATAGATAAAATAATTTTTTGGATTTAAATCAATGATTTTTTTAAAAAAATCATTTGATTTAAATCATGATTTAAATCAACAAACCCGCCGCCAATACGATGCAACCAATGCCAAACTGAATATCGTCGCTGGCAACCTATTGTCTCCACATTTTCAAAACAAGTCATGGCCATTTTTTCTGTCACGTCTTTTTCTTAATACAAAAAATTTACGCAAAAAAAAAAAAGATTAAAATTTGGGATTTGCCCAAAACACAGGAAGAAGCGATCAGATTCTTTAAAGAGAAAGGCATTTTGGCTGAAATAGAAACTTTAGATAAGAATCATGAAATGAAAATTGTATATCGGAGATGAAACTCAATGGTGCTGCAACCTTTCATCTTGTGGCTGCAATAGAAGTATCCATAAAGGGACATGGTTTCAGTCAACGAAAATGAGCTTTTAAGAGTGTGTGCGGTTTATTTATTGTTGCAGCGAAGAATTAACTTCAGTTAAATGGTGTGAAAAGTAGTTGGGAATCAGTCACGGAATAATTATAGATTGGAATAACTTCAGGCTTAAAGTTTGTGTGAATTCTTTGCTTAGATGTGAACAACGGGAAGTAGGTAAACCTGGCATGATCGTCGAAGTGGACGAAAACTCGTTTATGAAGCGAAAAAACAATGCGAGATAGATGCTACCACAACAATGGATCTTCGGTGGAGTTCGCCGGGAAACAAACTAAGGTTTCCTTGTGGATGTGCCAAACCAATCCTCTAACACTTTCAAGGCAATTAAGGAAAATATCGAAAAAGAAAATATAATATATTCCGAATCATGGAAAACATACTGCACTAATAAGCTGGAAGAAGACAGTTTCAAACATTTCAAAGTGAACCATAAACACAACTTTGTATATCCGGAAACTGGAACACCTACACAAAAAATAGAGAGACTGTGAGCCAGAGCGAAATAAGAAACACAGAGGAACGAAATGCCATCATCTTGAAAGTTATCTTGCGTAATTTATGTGGAGAAGGCAAACGGGAGCCCCATTTGAAAAAGTTTTAAGCGATATTAAAATGTTTATGGTTCCGAAGTAAAAAAAAAATTGAACCATTTATTAACTGTTTTATTATGTGTATGCTGTGTGTTGCAGACAATAAAGTCTGCTTGGTGAGATTTGCGCCGGTATAATGGAAAAGTACTTGCAATTCTTCCCAGGATATAGCTTGTAGCTACATGCTCTTTTTTAAAAAAAGATGTCATGCAAGTTTAAAACCCATTTGGCACCAACAGAAAAGAATGTAGAAACATTCATTTTGAATTCATCATATAATTAATTCATAATATTGAAAGATTAGTCAAGTAAGGAAATCAATTGGAATGTATACATATATTTGTGGTGTTCTATCACATAACTGAATGGATATGCACTTAATTAAGAAATAAATTGGAAGGTTATTATGAATCTAATGAACGATTTGATAACAAACTATACTTACAATATATAAGTACTTAAAATAACTTACTAACACGTTTTTAATATTTACTCTGAGCTTTTTCACATCATGACACCACACAATTATTATACAGATTGAAACTTTGGTGTTACACAACAGGTCAAGATTGACCAATAAGCAAATAACAAAAAAAATTCTAAATAAAATATTACACACACCAAACCAAATATTATATGGACATTTGTTTTTAGTTTACGGTGATAAGGTCCTGACAAAATCTTAACTAAGAACTGTGGCAAAAATAATTTCATAGCAATGAAAACAGAGTTTAACCCTAAGTTTTTTAAATAAATATGTACTAGTAATCAAACATAAAACAGAACATGTTATGCAAAATTCAAAAACTATGAGCTAAAATATAAATATTTCATTCATTACCGGCGTCTTTGTCAGTCATTTTAATTAATAATTTTCTTTAAATTTAAAACTTCAACGCAACAAACATTAGCGTTTTTTAAAAGATTTAACCAATACAAAACTTTGGCGCTTTGTAGAGGGCGTTAAATTCGCGCTTTAATTTTTTTTTTTTTTTCGTTCACTTGTGAAATATTTATAAATTCTGAAGTCATTTATATTGATAAACTACATTTTCATTAAATTTTTAAATGAAATAAAATTTTGAAACACTTAACTTTTCATTAAAGTCATCATGCGCAATTGATTACGAANATTTTTTTTTTTTTTTTTTTCGTTCACTTGTCAAATATTTATAAATTCTGAGGGCATTTATATTGATAAACTACATTTTCATTAAATTTTTTAATGAAATAAAATTTTGAAACACTTAACTTTTCATTAAAGTCATCATGCGCAATTGATTACAAAAAAATTAATTGTAATCGCTGACGTCATTTTTCTCTTTCAAACATGGCAGGTTTTGATGTCAAAAGTGTGTTTTCTTCTGAAGTCTTATGACTCATTACGATTTCTGTGCACCTAATTATCGTGATTTTCGGTTTATCAGTGTTGACATTTCAGGTATTTTCTTACTAACTGTACGAAGAGAGTACTGAGAACTCTTCTTTGATTTTAATGATTATAAGACTCTTACGGATGAAATCTAAAGTCATATATTTAATATTTACAATCGTAAAATATTTTTAAAATGTTTATGTATATAATGGATTGTTCTATGCTCTGTTTTGCAAATTAATAAAACGTATGATTTTAGAAATTATTAATATTTGAGACCAAAGCTCGGCGATTACTGATGTTTTCTTCATAAACATAAAAAAAACATTATCAAGACTTGAAATTAATTTGTAATGTTTGATTTTATCATTGTGGTACATAAATATTAGATTTCGTTTACATTGCTAGAAAAATAATTAAATACGTACCATCGAACTTTAAATAACAAAAATATGTCATATCACACTTTTTTTACACACTAAATCATAAACTATCATGGTACATACATATGGGGAATAAATTGATGATAAAAATATTATTTGTTAGCATTCTGTGTTGCTCTATATTCTGATTAATCCTAAATATGCTCTTTAAATGATAGGAAGCTGTAATATAAAATAATGAGGAAAACTTATTATTAAAACATTCTTTCCAAGGAAGTAGAAGAAAACATTTATCATTGAACATTAATTTATTGTTTTAAAAGCAATAAAAATCTATTTCTAAACAGTCTTAAAATCAATGTTTTTTTTCTTCTTTTGCATAAGATGAAATAGTTACAGTTTTAGATAGAAAAAAACAAGCCATATAAGAACCAAGCTGTGGCAATTAGCTGAGAAAGTATTTAAAGCAGGTGCAAATATTGAAATATACCCTATTTTGGGTGTAATTGCTCTGAAGAAACATTTGCTGAAAATAAAACTATGACTAATGTCTAAATTTATTTAATTAACTATAAAACTAAATTATTTTTTTCTTCATAGAATTTAAATATGGAAATATACCCTATTTTGGGTGTAATTGCTCTGAAGAAACATTTGCTGAAAATAAAACTATGACTAATATCTAAATTTATTTAATTAACTATAAAACTAAATTATTTTTTTCTTCATAGAATTTAAATAGTGGAATTATAAGGGAATGTTTCTTTCACCTAAAATGGTAAAACACATTTTTAAAATTGCCAAAGGAAAAGTCAGAATTTCATTTTGAAAAAAAAAAATGTTAGATATTGATGTATAAAATTTTAAATACAAGAACAAAAAGAAATGACATGAAAAATTATGTGTGTATCATTTCAGATGTTAAGACTACAATATACTTAATTTAAAATGTAATATTAAATTTTAAAAAAATGTTGAATCTATGTAAAAAAAAACTATTGTTAAAGTACATTAATGGAATTTAAATTTCTTTCCTACATATATAGAGTATGATTTAATAATCTATATGATCTTAAGCTGTCATCATTTGCTCTAGGTTCCCCTTATCAATTTGTTTTTTTTTTTAAAGTTATGAATGAATTTTTTAAATTCAAAAGTTACTTTTAAGAATCGTAAATGACTTTTTAAAATTGTTTACTATTTAGGGAGTAAATGTATCCAAAAAGCCAAGGAAACTAAACAAAATATTATAAATCTTTGAATATAGATTAGCAATCTCACGCAAAAAACAACTAAGCGTAATTTCCAGCAGTGGTGGATATATATTGTGCCATTTTAGTGATTCCACTACACTTTGGTTCTGAATTTTAGGGTCGTTTTTTGCTAAAAACCAGTCCTATTCAAAATAACATAAATCTCTGCTTTAAAGATTTACATAAAATAAATATTTTATGATGAGAAAAAAAGTGTGACTTGTTATTAATTTAACAATAATAATTCTAACAAAAAATTGAAGCCAAAATATCTATAACAATTTGACTCAAAATTATTTTAATTTTAATATGCTCTTAATATCGCAGAAAATTTTTTTATTTTTTTTAATAGTAAGTTTAATTTTGCATGTGTATTCACCTACAATTTTATACTGTCATTATTTTTGCGATAGACAATTATATGTCCCAGGGATGCTTCATATCTTTTCCGTGTCCCCCTTATGATTTTTGACAATTTTTAATAACTATAGCTCATAAAGAGAGTCGCTGGTTGTAATTTGCTTTTTTGCCCCATTTAAATCAGAATCTTTCAAAAGCCAACATTCTCTTTTTTTTTTTATTTGTTTATTTTTATAAAGATTCAAATCGAAAGCAATGTTTGTAATTTCATGGAAACTAAACTTGTTTATGCTATCTTCTATGCCATAATATACTGACTTCTATTCATGTTAGAACCCTGCTTCTTATATGGTCAGGGTTGGCAGGTTTTTGACATGTGACAGTTTTNTCGAAAACAATGTTTGTAATTTCATAGAAACTGAAGTTGTTTATGCTATATTCTATGCCATAATATACTAATTTCTATTCATGTTAGAACCCTGCTTATATGGTATATAAATTTCATTAAGTTAAATATTATCTTTTGCTTTCATATATTATATCTTCTTGATATTCTAACTTTCTATGTATAGCATTTTTTATAGTAACTAATTTTCTCATTTTTACTTTTTTAGAGATTTATGGAAAATAGAAATTTTATTTTTACAAGTAAAAGATGACTGATGTTTGTAAGTATGAATTGATACACAATTTATTTGTAGTATGCATTTTGTAATATCAATAAAGGTTTTTCAAAAACAAATTATATGTCGAAATTAGTTTAGTTTTTAATGATATTTTTTATTTAACCAATCAAATGTTTTTACCATACAAATAAATGCTGAGGGTACTAAATTTATCATATTTGTTTTTAAAAATAACATTTGAATAATTAAAGTATGTTAACTAGGATATGTTGTTGCAAGCCCCTGTTGCAGAATTTTTCGAGCTATCTGCGACAAAACTCTCTAGAACTAATATCTTTCTGCAAGATACTTTTAATAATAACAAACGTATATGTTACTAATTTAAAATTAAAAAAACGCCGTGTTTACAGCAACAGAAAAAAACTAATTTTTTTAAACTGAATATGTAATAATTTTTTATTCTAATATTATGGGTGAAATTCTTCCATTTTGTTGGGGGGGGAGGTAACGTAAAAGTAATTTTTTCCCTCACATTTTGTAAATAATCATCATGATAAAAAAAATAATTGATCATGAATTCTGTAGAAAATTGCTGAAAAAAATATTTATGACGAAATCACTTGAATCTGATATCTCAAATACGTGTTTCGTCTAGAGATTAGGTTGATATAATAAATAATATCGTATAAAAAATATTGTATTTAAAAGCTATGGAGAAATCAATAGCAATAACTGCCAAAAATTCGATAGAATTATTGCCTTAAAAAGTAATTACTCAAATGCACGATTCGAATTTTCCATATTGTTTGGCACATATCGGGATATTTAAAAGCCACCTGAAAATCAATATCAATAACTGCCGAAAATACAATCAAAACATTACATTGATTTAGGATACTATCGGCGTAAATTGAGATCGTTCAAAAGTGACTATCTAAATGCATGATTCANTTTCTCTCATTTCTTTCTGTTGCACTGATGAAAGTTGCCCTTTGAGCATCCGAAACAGCTGTCTGCATTTATAAATATTTTTGTGCTCTTAAACGTTGCTTACCTTAGTTTGTATTTTGGCACAAAGGTCGCCCACTTGTGTATTCATATATGTTACTAATTTAAAGTAACAAAAGTGCTGTGCTTACAGCAACAAAAAAAATTTTTTTTTTTAAACTGAAGATGTAATAATTCTTTATTCTAATATTATGGGTGAAATTCTCCCATTTTGTGGCAGGGGGGGGGGAGTAACGCAAAAATAATTTTTTTCCTCACATTTTGTAAAAAATCATCACAATAAAAAAATAATTGCTCATGAAATCCATAGAAAATTGCAGAAAAAAATATTGATGATGAAATCACATTAATCTGACTCCTCAAATGCATGTTTCATTTCGAGATTAGGTTGATGAAATAATAAGGTTGATAAATAATATTGTATAAAACATATTGGATTTAAAAAAGCTATAGAGAAATCAATAGCAATAACTGCCAAAAATTCGATAGAATAATTGCCTTAAAAAGTAATTATTCAAATGCACGATTCGAATTTTCCATATTGTTTGGCACATATCGGGATACTTAAAAGCCACCTGAAAATCAATATCAATAACTGCCGAAAATACAATCAAAACATTACATTGATTTAGGATACTATCGGCGTAAATTGAGATCGTTCAAAAGTGACTATCTAAATGCATGATTCAAATATTATGTGTAAATTTCTGTAGAAAAGAAAAGTAATTAATTTTTTAAAAACTTTTTAGAAGAAAAATCTCTCTGCAAGAACTCTAACGTTCTGCAACAATGTTGCTGTGTTGCTGCAATTCTGCCACGGGGTTGCAAGGTATCTGGGAGATTGATACCAAGTTGAGCTTTGTATTAAAATAGTTCACAAGTTACTATCAACTTGTTAGCTAACATTAGCCTAACTTTATATTTAAGTAAACATTTTAAAATAATGTTGATGCTGTGGGTGCATTTCTAAAATGGGTTTATTGGAAATCCTCCAATTGCACCAATTTATAAGATGTTATATGTATGGCTTTGATTATTTAAAAAATTTGATAGAACAACTTTTTTTATGTTAGTAATTTTCTTTTAAGGCAAATACTCTTGTTTTATTGATTATTGCCCCAATGATGTAGACATATAGTGTTTTTGTTTACTCGCATTGTGTCAAATAAGCCAAAAATCTTAGAGGGAGTGGAAAAAATCCACTATTAAGCATTCTCTGGGATGTGTATTTTTCTAATGCATAAGAAATAATAGCGATTAGGAAAAATTTTTGTTGAACTCTAAGTATACAAATAAATAAAAATTGTTTTTCTTTTTATTAGTAGCTAAGCAGGAAGATTAAGTATAATTCTCAATAGCATATGACTTGTTGCTTGATCCACATATGTTTGACTAAGCCTAATTAATAGCTTTGATAGTTCAAATATAATTTTTTTCTTGTTTTGAAATTTTTTATTTTGTCAATCGTTAGGAAGAATAATTATGAATGTGAATATTAATAGAATGATGAAGAGGTAATGAATTTTTTATTTTAAATTAGAATCCGTTTTTATTAAAAAGGACCCGTAGTTTCTAATGTTTAGCGGAATCACTGAACATATATGCAATGTAATGATTTGATTTTACATGACTGAAAATAAGTTTTTTTTTTTTTCGTTAATGTTTAATTTTGCTATTATATTTCTGCAAGAAAAGTCATTATTTATAATTGAAAAACTGTACATTTATATTTTACTTTGTATTTGCAAATAGATATTAAAACTAAATTGTACTCGACTAAACTGTTACACGCTATTCAACTAAATCTGCTTTAGTTCGCCGTGAATAATTTGTAATTGTAATATCGCCTCTTCAAACATTTGGGAGAAAAAAAACATTAAAGTGTTTTAAAACTAAAAATAACTTAGATCATTGAATTAATCAATAGAAGTATATATTATATTGGTATTAACAATAAACATAAAAAATTCTTGTTATAATAACTTATTGTTTATCATCCATTTAAAAAACAAAATTATATTCCAAATTATTCTCTGTAAAACAAATCAAAGGGAATGATTAGGATTCAATGGAGAACCCATTGTATTTGTAACTGTCTGGTATAGGAAGCACATTCTTTGCAAAATATGTAGTTTTATATTACTGTGTATAGTGTCTTAAGAAGTCTCACTAAGTTTTTTTCCCTTTTTTTTTTAGCTTGTTCAAATATCCTGGAAAACAGGAATGCAGGAAACGTGACTCATATTTTAGCAGCACTTCCTCCTCCCCCAACAAAAAGTCATCGAACAGGATCTCTGCCGACTGCTGTTGTGAAACAAAGTAGCATTGCTTTAGAAAGTGAAATATCACCTAGTCATCAACCGCCTTCTCAAGTAAGCTTTATTTTAATTTCATTTTGTATTAACACCTCTAAATGTGTGTGTAATCAGCGTAAGTAACAAAAATTCTAAATTGAGTTTTTTATGCGTTTGTCATTTTTGTATGTAAGCTACCTGTTGTGTAAAAAAAAAATTAAAAAAAAAACTTTTTTTAAAAATGCATTTTGTTTTATTTTTTTAACCCTTTGCTTACGGTGTTCCATGTTGTACCATCACCTGTTGTCCACATGCTGTACCAGCCGTAACCAAAAGGTTAAAATGATATTTTAATGTTCATAGCATTAGCAATAGAAAGAAAATAGTGATCAAGACCTCTTTTTTTTAAAAATTTACCATGAAACACTTAAGTTTTTTTTTGTCAATTGCACTGTAGTATTTTTAGTTACAAAATCTGACAATTAATTTTTATTTCTGTGATGAAACATACATTTTTTTAGACAATGTAGATGTTTGATATTTAAATTATGAGAGTAACAGCCAGAAAAAATATGGTCTAAATAAAGTTAAGAAAATAGTAAAAAATTTGGATCCTCTAATTTCCTTTTTTGTGTACTTAATTTTGTGTAAATTATTGAAGCGAAGGAAAAGACTTTTGAACATTTTTATTAACATTATTTATCGCAGATAAATTCTCTTGAAAATTTTATGATTTCTTAATTGAATGAAGGTATATCTTATTTCTTTTTTATAATAATATTAGCTTAATATACTTTGTCTCATAATGAACTGATTCCTGTAGATAGATGATGTTGACACTGTTCCTAAAAATCACTGAAATTAAGCATCACTGGCTGCGGTCAGTGAGAGGGTGGGTGACCAGTTTGATAAGCCTGAAAAAAATTGTGGCGGCATGTCTTTGGATCATGTTAGCCCATTGTGCCCATAGATCGTCGCCATTTTGCATCTCCAATGCGATATAAATAATGAGCTACTACTACTAATATGCTTTTTTATCATTTCTACATCCTCCCCTATTCAAATTTTATAAATAAAAGTCAATTTTATCCTGTTAGTAAGAATTTAGCTGCATTTCTTTTCAATTAAGTAGAATGTCTAACAATGCCCTATTTTTTTGTCGTAAGTTTCACTTTTAATTTTCTAATATCTTTTAATTCTTCAGTAAAAATACATTTTTTTTTGTGAAAAATGTAACTCTGTTCTCTATTTATTAATTTTTTTCAATGGTTAGAGATTTATCAACGAATTCATGTTTGATTTATCTGTTGAGTTGTTAGAGATTTATCAACAAATTCATGTTTGATTTATCTGTTGAGTTAGTTGATATTTATTCTATTATATAGTCCTATGTAGCATCAATATTACAGTGTACTTTCATTAGTATGTTTATCTAAATTTATTTTCTACATGACTTTTCTTTTCAGCCCTCATCTCTCATTATTGCTCCGTCTTCTAAAATTAGTGATTCTCCTTGTTCTTCACCTACTGATCCGGTTACTATTTCGCCCCGAAGCTCAATTTCTTTGTCTACTGATAAAAGTTGGTCTTTTTTCCAAAAAGGTTTGTATTTGCTGTGTAAAGTATATTAAGTATAGAAATATTTTTTATTTATGTAGAGACAATCAAAAAGTTAAACCAATACTAGTAGATTTCATTGACTAGTCAAAATTTGTAGTAAAGTTAACATTCATGTAGTTTTTTTCTATGTTTATTTTAATATTGTTGGGTTTGTTTTAAAGATGGAGCTGCAGGATGGACTAACTTTGAAGAGCATCATCATTTATTGGGTGCAGATGAAGATAATAGTGAAAGGCATTCAAGTGATGACGATGCTGATGTCTGGTCCATTACTGATGAGCAGCGAGAATATTACTTTAATCAATTTAAATCCATGCAATCTGACTTAAAGAAAAAAATATCTGGTAAATAATTTTGTTAAAGCTTATAACTAAATCAGTTTCAGTATTTTATTATCTGTGTGTTGTAGTTTTTGCTTATTGTTTTAAAAAAAAACTTTTTAAATTCAATATTACAAATTTAGGTGCCACAGCTAAAGAATTTTTTGAAAAATCCAAGCTGCCCCTTATTGAACTCTCAAAAATATGGTAAGTATCAATTAAATTAGTTTACCTAACATTCAGAAAGTTCTTAAATCTTTGTTGAAAACGAGCTACAAAATATTAAAGGTCTCAGATTACTCTTTTAATTTAAGGAAGAAAACCTTATAAAAGCTATTGAAAAATGTAATATTTAAAAAAAAAAATGTTTCTTTGCTTGAGAAAAGAGATAAAACAAAAGTTTAAAAAACACCATCAAGTTTTTCAGGCTATCAAACTGTTTATTATTATTTTAAATCTCAGCTTGCTTGTTAGTAGTTCATCTGATTTTTATGGTATTCTTTAGACACTTAAATCATAGTGTATGTTCCATTTTGGGTTTATCTCTTTACTTCAGTTTTGACAGGATTGCTAAAAGTATCTTTAAAGGCATTGATTATGGAACATCCTGTATAAATAATCATTATTACTTGATTTTCATTGAAAGCTATTGTGATAGTTCTACGCTATTTTTGTGTGTAGAGGATCACTTGTTTTGCTTGCCTTTGTGTTGTGCACCTCATGTTAGAGCTATTGAATTTAATTTCAGTTGACAAGACTTGTTATACTTATCATAACAAAATATGGGTTGGTATCTTTCCTTTTCTTTTAGTTGTCTTCAATATTAATGATGCTTTCAAAAATTCTCACTGCTATATTCATAAATTTTACTTTTATTATCGTAAGATACATTACAATAGTTATTTCATCTCTTTCAGTTATTATATTTTTTCTTGTATTCTATTCTTATTCTATTTCATTTCTTGTATAGGGGTAATGAATTTAATTGCAAATAATTACTTCTTTTTTATTTGAATACTTTTTAATAGATCTGATTAGGTTCTGTTTAGTTATTCATTATGAAAGACTATTTATATTTACGGAGAGGTATTTTATTTCGTGTTAAGGTTATTTCCTTTCAATTTTGTTTTAAGATAAACCCAGCTTCTAACTAGCTTCTAAACCCAGGCTAAAAACTAATGAGAATTTACTATATTTTTAAGATTTTCCTTTATATTTTTTTTCTTCTTATTTTTGGAAAGAAAAAAAAATTTTAATTAATTTTTCTATGTACAGAAACTTCTATAGTACAGATATGTTACTTGTTCCAAAAATTTTTTTTATATAGTAACCTTATTTAGTTTTATTGCTTAAAACATTATTAAAAATAAGATAAGTGTAGGAAATAAAATTAAAATTACTGGGGTTTAAGTTTTGCACAAAATTGCAGTTGTTTATTTTTCAATTTCATATAGTAATGTTGCATCTGATATTAATATTTAAATTATTTGGCTAATAATTTTGTTTTATTTTATTAGAAAAGGATTAGAAATGATTAAATATCATTATGATTTCTTTTTAATTAAAGGAAATTAAAAAGCTAGGAAGAATTGCTAGCTAACTAAAGCTAGGAACATTGTAATGCCTAAAATGATATGACAGTCATGTAGCTCTCCTGTTGCCATCTTCATTGTAAATCTTTGATACCTTTTATTTATTTTTATTTTTTTACCTTTTTAGTTGTTAATAAATATTGAAAATTGTGATACAATTTTTCAGGCAATTATCTGATGTTGATAAAGATGGCGCCCTTAGCATAGATGAATTTTGTACAGCCATGCATTTAGTGGTCCTCAGAAGAAATAACATAGAACTACCTGATGTTTTACCTCCTTCCCTTGTACCAAAAATAACTAAAACATCTGAAGGTATGTGTTCTTGTTACTGTAACGTAATAGTTATATTTACTAGTTATTCTTTAAATTTGTATAATGTTGTGTGCATGTTTTTTTGTTGTTGTTTTTTTGTTGTCTAAGATAAGGGAAGAGTTTGAGGCAACATAATAAGCCATTTTTGTTCACATGAGCATTTTTGATGAGAAACAACAAAATTTCCATGAAGGTGAAAAGATGCAGACTTTTTTCTTAAGCAGTGCAAGGGATCAAAATAAGCAGTTGTATATGTAATTTGTGCCATAATACTAATACAATAGTATAGAAGATCGTTATACTTTTTAGCAAGTAATGTCATGTTTTTTTTTTAACTTAAAGATGTTAAGGCTATGACTTTAGTAAAATCATTTTGGTTATACAGTAGGGAACCGATTATCCGGAACGGTCGGGACCATCGCTGTTCCGGATAACTGATTTTTCCGGTTTTCTGAATCGCTACAAAAAGCCATTTTTTTTTTATATTGTTAATCCCAACTAAAAAAAAAAATTTTAAATAATATTAAAAATAAGAAAAAACAATGAAGTAATACACTAATGATTATTTCCAAAATTATGGTAAGGTAAACATCTTTAAAAAACGAAAGAAAAATCGCAAAATCTTATCTTACGAGGGAAAAAAATTTGTTTTTAAAAAATTGGCACGAAAGTTTATCGAATTTTGTTCCGGTTTTCTGATTTCCGGATAACGAGTTCTGTACTGTATATAAGAGTTAAGATATAATTATTTATAGTTTTTTTAAAACGCTTGTTGCCAATTTTTATAATCTTAAACAGAATTGATGGAAATAGGAAATAAAAACTGTCAATTAATTTTCCCTTTTTATTAGTTATTACATAATTATATATATTATACTTTTTAAAATAATCTAATAGATAATAATCTAATATGCAAATGATTTTAAAATGTTTGTAATACAGTCTGAACTTGAAATTTGGACTAAGATCTGAATAACAGACATTTCTTTTCTACTTGTGATGAGAAAAAAGTCTATGCTGAAATTCGCATGTCGATATCATAATTGGAAAAAAATCAATTTTAAATAATCAAATAGATTGAAATTTGTAATAATAGCTGCTGAAAAGTAATAGACAAAACCATGTTATCTACAATTAAATGGTTAAAATGATTGCTATCAACTTTAAAATATTAGAATTTTAAAATCATATGGATAAAGCGATCAGCAGAATCACAAATATTATACAATTGTGTCAAAAAGTTATTTTTCAAATGCATGTGTCATAATATTATTGTACTATTAAAAATATGAGGATTTAAAAAAATATGTACCAATTTACCCCCCCCCCCCAAAAAAGAGAAAATAAGAAGATATTTGATAAGATCTCATGTATTTATACTTAAATTGTCATTTCAAAAAGTGATTTGGTATTCAAATGCTCAATTCGAAAATTACTTGTTATAATAATATCCTTATAAGAACATCAGAATCTTGTTTAGATTTAAAAAAAGAAATGGAGGTCTATAGCTTTGACAGTTATGATTTGTGTTAAGATATCGAAAACCCAGATCTTATAAATTATAGTTTGGCAATCTAGATTTTAGCTATTATACTGTAATGTAAACAAAAAGCTTTTTTAAAACCTGTAAATAATGTTTTTATAAAATTTTGTAGATCATAAACGTAATTTTTTTTTTTTTTTTTTTTTTTTTGTATTTTTAAAAATATTAATATTCATTGAATTATATAATTATGGGTTATTCAAATTATTTAGACCAAAACTAATGGATTTTGTTTTTTTAGGTGATGTTAATATTCCAAATGCAACAACTACCACTGTGCAGCAACCTCAAAGCCAAATTGTTAATAGTCCAAAACAGGCTTCCCCATCAGAGCTTGTATCCCCTCAGAGCAAAGAAGTAAGTAAATGTTGGGATTAATTATTGAAATGCATAAAACTAAAAATCGTACACCTTAATAACTTTTTATCTAGTGATCAGATTTTCATGTACGAAAATGCAATTTTAACGATATAAGAAGCTAGCAATGATATATTAATTTACACTAAAATTTACTTTTCTCTGGATGAACATACCTTTTTTTCGACAAATTTGGAATTAATGAATCTCAAAATGAGGAATCTGCGTAATCTGAAGAATATGGTTCCAATAGTTTGATCAAGAAAGAGGTAGGAATTTTGGGCCAATCGCTTATTTCATAAAATCTTTGAATTTAATTAAGCAGAACATAAGTCTATCCACAATCATACACCATATCCAACAATGACCACTGACCTTGCCAAGTTTTTCTGGGCTTTATCTTTCGGTGGCCAGGGTAGGTGATTCGACAATACCTGAGCTAGCTGACTCTTGCCGAACTACCACACTGTTGTGGCTCAGAGGATAGAGCACTCCTCTCCAAATGAGGTGACCCAGGTTTGAGTGTTGGCTAGTTGATGTGAATTTTGCTTCCGGCTCGCACCAACCGCAGTGTCAAGGTAAAATATCCTAGGCGGTGAACGAATCACGGATCAGAATCCCATTGCCATTGGGCTAACTGTGAAATTTTTTTTCCCCATCTAAAGCAAGTGACAAAGCAATTTTTTTTATTTATAAATAAACGCAAAAACTGTTGCTTGATTTCAAAACAATGTCTTATGCCTCTGTGTAAAAGCACGANGACCCTCTTATCATAAGCATTTTATCAATAACTCATCATTGTCATTATCAAAATTTTGTACATCAAAAGTAATTGAAAAAGTCACAAATCAAGAATGTTTGCCTTGGTTCAAAAAATAATGTAACTGTTTTAAATCCTTTATTTAAATAAATGATGATCCTGTGTTTAAATAAATGAAAATTAAGTACTTTAACGTAAACTTGAATTTTTTTGCAATGAAATGCTTGCAGAACATTTACATAAATTAATAAGTCCTGTTGCAGAACGTTTGAAAATATTCTGCTTCTGGGCTCCTCTCCAAATGAGGTGACCCAGGTTTGAGTGTTGACTGGTTGATGTGAATTCTGCTTCCGGCTCGCACCAACCACAGTGTCAAGGTAAAATATCCTAGGCGGTGAACGAATCCATTTGCCATTGGGCTAACCGTGAGAGTTTTTCTTCCCATCTAATTACCATTTTTTGTTATAAATAAAAAAAAAAAATGTTGCTTGGTTTCAAAACACTGTCTTATGCCTCTGTGTAAAAGCATGATAGTCTAAGTGCATCTATTTTAATTTTAAACTAAACATTTAAAAAAATAAAATTACTCATTAGCTTTAAACATTGGCGAGACCGCAAGGAAATTTGGTACCCTGGTCTATAGTGTTAAAGAAGTTTAAAATTGTTAATATTATGTTTAATATGCCTCTCAGTTTTATGGTGATAGTAATTTTTTTAATGATGTTTCTAGTGGACAAAATTCAATGACTCTCCCACAAGTTCACTCTCTTCCCCAGGAATGAAACCAGTTAATTTTGATTTTTCTGCTGCTTCTGTTGAACAGGTACTTTTTAATTTATTTTCAAACAATTTTTTTGATGTTTATTTGTACTGAAGCCACAAAATAGTAAATCATTTATCTATTGTCAGGATCCAAAGATTCTTCACCCTGTAGCGTTACGATTATCACCTGAGAAACAAGTGGCCTATTCATCAACTTCTGACAAAGAGCCAACAGGTTTGAGTGTTACAATTTATTACAATAAATAGAAATTGATTTTGATATGCGTAGGAATAAAATTGTGATATTTTATTTTTTAATTTGGAGAAAAAGATAGTAATGAATATTTTCTTTTAACGATTATTTTAAAACATTCTTTTCGTGTGTAGATATACTATGGATTCATAATTTTTAAAAGAAATATATATTAAAAGAAGCAATTAATAATTTTGTACAACTTATAAATTAGCTTGTTACTCAGTTAAATAGCTTGTTACCCAAATATCATTTTAGGTAAAGACAGGTTTCTAGAAACCGAGGCACCTTTTCTTTTTTTCTTTTAATCTTATTTACTTTTGTTTCCAACTCTCTTAAGTAGGAAGACTGAATTCATAGTTTTTAAAAGAAATATATTTAAATAAACTATTAATTATTTTGTACGGCTTGCAAATTATTGCAGTAAAATATTCTTTTAATGCAAAAATCATTTCAGATAGCACAGGTTTCTAGAACCTGAGGCACCTTAGTGATTTTTTTAAAATCTTTTTTGTTTCCTATTTTTTCAGCCTTTGTATCTAGGAAAACTATGGATTCATAATTCTAAAAAAAAAATTACTTTAATAGGTTATTATTTTTTTTTTTGTATGACTTACAAGTTATTGCAGTCAAATAGCTTGTTACCCTAAAACAGCTCCAAGTAAACACAGGTTTCTATAACCTGAGGTATCTGAGTAATTTTTCGTCCTTTTATTTTGTTTGTTCATGCTTTTGTTTCTGCCATAGACAGAGTTTGATTTCATTAACCTCAGTATTTAATCTTATTTGTATTTAGTACAATATAGCTTCTTCCAGATTTGTGCCTTTAAACTTGACATTCAATTTTTAAAAATTATATTTTGCTTACAATCGTTATTTAATTAGTTAATAAAAATTAAATAAGTGAAGATAAATAAACTATAGATTATTCTAAATTAATAAATTAATATAGTTAATTCTAAAATAAACTATAGATATTTCTAAATTAAATTTACTAAAAAAAAACACTTGTTCAATATTGCAATAATTAATAATGGTGTTTGTTTAGCTGAGTGCCTAAACATTAAACTTAATAAAATATGAGTTACTTTGCCAGCAAAAATAAAATTCAAATACTTATTATTATATCCTTATTTGTTTCAAGTTCCATTAGGAAAACCATCTAAAAGTAATGCATAAAATAATGCCATTAAAACTTTTAAATATTTTGTAAGTTATCTTTTAGCCTTTTGCAATACTTATAATTTTCTAAACAAATTGTTTTTGTAGGGCCTAGTAGTACTTCTCAATCATCTGAAGTTAATCCAGATTTAATGAATGGTCCTGTTCATTCTAGGTATGTTATCCATCAATTGATATATGAATATTGATTCTACTCTCTTGAATATTGATTCTACTGTTAACACCAAAAATCAGTTTGGATTATATTTTAATTGATATTGTTGCAAGTGTTTTTATGTCGGAAATGTGCTTGTGGTAATGTAGATTGTGTAGTAAAGAAAATTATGGTTCCAATTTATGTAATTCATATATCTTTACACAAATTTCCCATTAATTATAATTATTCTTTTAGATCACAATAAGCTCATTTTTTACATTATTTAAATTATCTCCTGATTGTTATTTTAATGGAAGTATCATACCTTAATAAATATTATTTTTCCAGAATTGATTTCAAAATAACCATTTCAGTTTTGGCAAATAATCAAATGTTATTTTTACTACCTAAACTATGTATTGAAGTATAATTTTTGTTTTAAAATAACCCTTTTAAAAAAATCTACTTTTAAATGTTAGAATTGTTTATTCTGCTGCCTATAAATGTCTTATTCTGTCTACAATAAAATATTTTACACTGCACACTATTACACAATTTACACAATAAAATATTTTCCACTTAATTGATCTTCTTCATAATGCTCCACTGCATAACTTAGTAATATTCTGCCCATCACAAAAAATGGGTACTAAATGAAGTACAGTCGGGCCTGTTTATCTCAAATCTCGCAGGAAGGGCAATAAAAATTTGAGATAAAGAGGTTTCGAGTTATACAGGTACTTTAAAAAATTTAATTTAATTAAGAAATTCTACTAAAAGTACTTTAATTGTTTTAAGTAGAAAAATACAGGCATTTCTGTAAGTTACATCTACATGCATCTATTTACTAATATCGCATACATCTATTTACTGATACCACATACATCTATTTACTGATACCACATACATCTACTTACATACAAAAATTTTAACACTGAAAATAATTTTTCAAAGACTTTTAACGTCTAACCTTCTTTGCTTCAATAATTCTTTCAAGGTTAGAAAGAGCAGCAAATCCGCCAAAACCAATATTTTCCTAGGATTCATGAAAAGTTTGTAAGAGTTCTACAGCTTTTTCTGTTTCTTTCGCTCTCACTTTTGGTTCATCAATATGATTTTTAACTTCGACATTATCTATGATTGCCGCATCTGTCAATGTTCTGCATGTTGCCAGGCAGTTGTCCTCGTGTAAAAATCTTCAAAATTAATTTCAACATTAAATCCCGATTTTATTGCATTCCATTCTTACAAATCTGCCACCGTATTTTCTGCATCAACAGTTTCTTCCTCTTTACTAATTCCTTCAACTTCTTGTTCATCATCTTCATAGCCATTTTAAAACCATTTTCAATAGTTTATAAAGGCACATTTTTTGAGGCATAGCAGTCATTCTCATAGCATCCAACACATTTATTTTTGGAAGAGAACTTTTTTCGATGATGGTATCTACAAGTTTGCATACCAGCTGTTTTCTATAGCTCCCTTTAAAACTCCTAATTATTTTTGATCGATTGGTTGCCATTTTTAAGTGAAAATAAAATAATGGAAAATACATTGATTTTTGATAGTAACTGTAGGGAATTTTTAAAATTTCGAGATATAGAGGTTTTTGAGATAAACTGTAGTACAAAAATTTCTAGGGGAAGGTAATTTGAGTAAAAATAATCCATCTTTCCACTTTCTTTATCCTTTGTCTAGCTCAAACTGGATACTGCACCAGTATCATTGAAAATAATAATGCAACTTCCCTTTGTTTAGTAATAATTTAGAAAATGATCAAAGTATTTCTCTTATCATAACTTTCTGAAAGTATTTAAGGTTTGTAGTCCTAATATTTATGAAAAAATGGTTTGGCCTTATTTTTATCTGTATTCTGTGTGTTATTCCTGTTTTTATGTGTGTTATTTCTGAATTTTATGTATGTTATTCCTGATTTTTATGTGTGTTCTTCCCATTTTCTACAAGTACGCAAGCGAATTTGAATGAAGAACAATATATTTTTAATTGATATCCATAGTTTTATTATAGAGTGCTCATCGTCGAAGTACGAACAAGTAACTATCATGGAAACTAAACATACGAAACATTAGCTATCTTTTACATGGGGATGACAACAAATTTAGATTCTGGACATTTAACAATTAATTTGTCTCTTTAATCAAATTTTAAGAATTGTCGATTGTAATCAATAATAAAGTAATCATGTCTTAAGAATTTTTTGATAGTGAACTGAGAGTTCATTCTTTAAATTACTTTTGTATAAATATGATAAGCTGCATGTTCATAGTGTTTTGTTTTGAGATTATTGAAATTAAATTTTAAAATTATTTCATAAAAGAAATTTTGAATCTGTTTACAAATTTTAATTAAATATTTGCATGAGGGAATATTACGAATAATTTTATTTAATTTTAACAGAACAAAAAAGTATTTTATCTTAAACTATTATTATTTGTTCAATGCTTTATTGATAAAATTTTACTTGGAAGCTGTTAAAACTTTCTGTTTTAAACAAAGTAATTCTGTAAATAAGAATAGTATCTTTTATTATCCTTTTGTGATTAAATTTGCCTTTATCATACTTAAATTGAGCAAATTATACTGTTTGTTACAAATGTTTACCCTTTTTAAAAGTCTTCTCTCAATATTCTGTTTCAGTAGTTTAAAAATGTTCTGGTTTTTCCTTGGCTCAGTGCAAAGTCTAGTATTGACTTGATAGTGATGCCAAGTAACCAGTGCAAATTTTTAAATGTATATATATATATATGTTATTAGTAGTCTATAAAATGACTGTTTAGTTATCAAGCAATTAATTTACTTAAAAATTTCTTATATTTCTTTTTTTTTTTTTTTTTTTTTTTTTTTTTTTTTTTTTTTTTTTTTTTTTTTTTTNGATGTTATGCTTCTTTGTTTGTAAAATGACGGTATTAGATATGACATCATAAAAAATTGTTTTGTAATTCCAAAGTTTTTTTTCATTTGTTTGAATTCATTTTTTGCTTATCTTAGCTGTCATAGAGAAATTAGGAGAAGGTAAATTATGTATATGTATAGATATTTTTTTATGTAGAATTCCTTTTTACTTTAGTACCTTTCCCATTAGATTCATCGTTATAAACTTATTTATTGTAGAAGATAAATTATGTTTTTTTATTATTATTTTTTTTATCTCGAATTCATTTTTATTTTGGTACCCTTCCCATTAGATCCAGATCCATCTCTATAGACATATTCATAGAAGGTGAATTAGCATTATTATTTTTTCATGTAGAGTTCCTTTTTATCTTGGTACCTATCCCTTTAGAGTCATAGTTAGTAACTTATAGTAGAAGGTAAAGTATGTATTTTATGTAGAATTCCTTTTTATTTTAGTACTTTTTCCATTCCATTTATCTTTTTAAACTTATAGTAGAAGGTAAATTATGATTTTTTTTTTTTAATGTAGCATTCTTTGTTTTTTATCTTGGTACCTATTTCAATATATTCATTGTTATAAGCTTATTCATAGTAGAAGGTAAGTTATATGTTTTTTTATGTAAAATCCTTTTGAACCTAGTACCTTTCAATTAGATTCATCAATATAATTTACTTATTTATTCCTAGAAATAGGACAGTAAAAGTTTTAAAAGTATTTTTTCTATAATCATTTTTTATCAACAATATTAATTCTACTATTGTTAGATTAACATTAATGTCTAATATTTTATTTCTGTAGTTTTTTGTTGTTTTAATCTTAAAGGCTTTGTTTTTATTGTTGATCATACTAGAAGAAATTAATTTGCAATGTATTGAATTTACATTGCCTTCCGCTACCTAGCTCTTGATTTCAAAATCTGATACCATATCATTATCTGTTTTGCTTAATCATGAATATGTAATCTAGTCTATATGTTTTTTATTACAGGTGCTTTTATTATTTACAGTATTTGACTTATAGTTTTAAATTTATCGGAAATGTCCCATTAAAGATTCTTACTTGAATTGATATGTACAACTATAATGATTGTAATCTTCCAACTGTTTGTCCTCTATCATTTGTTTCCTTGTTCTTTTCATTTTACATCAAATTTAGTTTCTAGGGTGTTAAGTTTTGTTACATTGATTGCATACATTTTTTTACTTTTCATTTTACCCACTTTCCCCCACCTGACTCTTGTGCTTATAGACTGAACCTTTAAAATTTGCTTTAAAAGAACTTAAGGCATTATGTGTATATNCTTGGTCTAGAGCCCTAGAATATATATATTTGTATCAAAGGGTGATTTAATACTTTAAAGTGAAGTATGTTAGTGTTTAAAAGCAGAAAAAAATTAGTATTTGAATTTTTGTGGTGTTTTTCTCAGCTCACTCTTTGTGTCTCTTCTTAATCATCAGCTAAGAATTTAATCTTCTTTGCTTTAGCTCATTTTCTGGAACTAGCAGTGAGCCCTCCAAATCTTTAGTTGCCTCATCAAGTACTACTACTACAGCATCCAATCTTCCTCAGGGACCTAAGAAAGAACCACCTCCTCCTCCACCCCCAAGACCCAAGCATAATCATATCAGAAGTTCCTCATTAGATTTAAATAAATTAGGTATTTATTATTATGATTCATATTTTTTGATGCCTAGCAAATTTGACATGAAATTCAAAGATGTTCTTAAATGATTCTAACAGAAGGAAATCATTAAAATATTTTTAATCCCATACATTTTATTAATAAATTTTGTTTTTTTTTAGAAACCTTAGTCTTAAATAATATGTAAATTGTGAAAAAAAATTGAAAATAATGGGGAATGATGTGCTCTAATTAAATATTCAAGTAATAATTCTACTGTGTTTGCTTTGTACAATTTATTTGTTAGTTATAATAATCTGTTTTATAAAATGGCAGTTATTCACAAATGTAATTTCTGTTTTGATATTGACCTCTCTCTTTTAATATTTATTTCTCAAAAATTGATAGAATAGTGAAATTACTTTCTAAAATTGTTTTAGCTAACACACTTTATCTCAAAAGGTTTTTTGTTTTACTCTAACAATAGATTTTAATAAACTTTTTTATTTATCTTATGCTGAGTTGTATTGGTTTTCAAGCTTTGTTTACTTAAGGTGCATAATAAATTTTTTGTGTTTTATATTTTGTAAGTTGTTGTGTGATGTAAGAACTAAAATGAAAGGTTAATTATCAGTGATACTAAAAATTATGATTTTAGGTAAAACAGTACCACATTTTCTAGGTACTCCACCTGCAGTTCCGCCTCGAGTTTCTCCTAGTGGAGTAAGTATTAATTATTTGTTTATGTCTCTAACTCTTTTCTTATAAGAATCTAACCAATAAAAAAAAATCAAAACTTTATGAAACCTTTTACTTAAACTTAATAATTTGTATTCATTCTGAAAGTTATATGGACACTAAGACAAAACTAATAACAATGCAATAGAAATTGTGCTTTACATTTTTTTAGTGCCCTCAGAAAGTTTAAGAAGCTTTTATTTTATAACTATGGTTGAACAGCCATTCAGGGTTTACGACTACCAATGTTCGACTCCGTAACCTTGTAGTTTTGAACCCAATCCAGAAGACAAGTGTACTCCAGGATCAGTATCCCCAGAGGTATTGATTTTTTTAATGTGAACTTGGAAGACTTTGTGACCCCAACAGATTTAACATGCACCGGTCACCATTTAATGCACGGGGATTCTCAGGCCGGCTGGTTTCAAACTCCCGTTCTCTTGACCGCGGGGCCAAAGCCCAACTAACGAGGCTATCCCGGCCCTCAAGAGGCTTGCATTGTCAATACTGGTGCTACTGTCATAAACATGTTCTTTTTTCTTTCTTTTTAATTGCATTTCATTAATTACGTATGCTGATTTTAAACAGCTGCTTAGCTTTAACAAAGTATTTGTTATTAGCAAACTTTATAAATGTTCTTAAAATCTTGAGAAGATTCTCAATTTATTAAGTTGACTAAAAAACTCTGAAAAATCCTATTTTTTCTTTTTTTAGTTTTTAATTTTATTTATTTATTTTTTGAGGTCAGGTCTTAAAACTATCAATTGAAAACTCTCTAGCTAAAATAAAACTCTCCCACTTACATACACCATGTGTACAATATACAATAAAACAAATAGCACGTGTTCTATTTAAGAAGCATTGAAGCACTTGATTCAAAAAATGTCCTTTCCTCGAATCAAATACCATACACTTGTGGATCATATGTCTCTTAATTTGAGTAGGAGGTTAAATTTCCTTTATCTTAAATCATTTGAACATGCAATTCCATCTTGTAAATAAATTATAGTCTTTAAACAGGGTGCGTAGCATTTGTAAAAAGTACTTAAAGGTGCTTTTTTGGGGATTTCGTTTTTAAAAGCTTTTAAGGGTGCTTTTTTCAGTTGGAATTTTTAAAAAGTGCTTTTTTTCCGAATAATTTTTTTTCCCCTTCAGTGATATCTGGTGGATCGCATGCATTTCACGAAAAATGGGGAGTTTGCTACGTAATCATTCACGCGGACTTCATGTCGTACCCACGTTATGACTTGCGCATGCGCACATACTTGAAACTGAAACCCGAGTGCTCCAATTCGGATAGAGAATGTCAGATCCTTATGAAATCTTTTTCTTTTTAATTTATTTTAATTTTGTTCTTGTTTATTTAATTTACTTCTAACACTTTTTTTGACGTAGGGGGTAAGGGTACTTTTGTTCTGAGTTCAGGGTCAAGTTGAATTCACTCGGTGATGTGGGAAAGTACTGATTATTTCGATTTACGCCTGTTTCTTTTTGGGGTTTTTTTAACGCTAAAACTGTTTATAAAAAGTTTTTGTTTTTCAATAATATCATTGATTGAATATGAATTTTTTGAGTGCTTGAAAATTTTTGTAAAGTGCTTGAAAAGTTTTTAAAAAGTGCTTATTTTTGATTTAAAGATTTGGTTACGCACCCTGTTTAAAGCTTTTCTAAATACTCATAAATATCTGACGGCCAGGAGTGAGTGATAAATCGCTCACCACCACTTTGATCAGCCTACAAGGGTGTGTGGTATCGGTCCTCGTTAAACTGTTCTACCGTAAAGCACTCGACTTCGCACACACGTCTGTGGGCTTCAAAAGCAGGGAAGCCATTCCCTCTACAGAGGGAGTGGCTATGTTTGTCCCTATACATATATATATATTATTTTTAATGTTGTTGTTATTGCTTATCCCCTTGGTCTAGAGCCCTAGACCAAATCCAGAAGATCATGTTGCATCAGCAAGTCATAGACAGTCTCTCCATCACTCATCAGTTGCCTCACAGAGTCACCAATGCAATCCAATGAGTTGAAGAAGCGATGGCCGAGCAATGACAATAGGCATAAGTCTTTTCTTTCGCTTTGAAGATCAAACACTTTATATGGCCGGTCCTAAGTCTTGACAAAGCTGTTTGAGCAAATCTAGGACAAGCGCACCGCAGGGATAATCTGGGGCATTCGGCGGCATACCAATCATGATCTGGTGGTTTTTTAATGTAATAGGTACAAGATGAAATTGAAAAAAGAAAAAAAAGACTTGGGCAGACCAAAAATTAAAGAACAGGATCAAAACGTCCTTTAGGAGTATTTGGGAGCTCTGAAATTATAAATTTTTTATTCTTTGTAACTCCTTGTACATTTTTCTATTTACCTTCGTTACTTTATGTTTCTAAATACTATAGTTTATGTGCAGCTAAACAAATTTTTTTTTATTAATCTGTTTAAAAATTGCTATAAACTTCAAATACTTTTTTTTTTATCTACAGGCTACACCTCATAAGTCCTCTGTTCACTCGGATGAACACAAGACTGACGCTGTAGAATTTGCAGACTTTGCCAATTTTGATGAATGTGATAATGCTAATTTACATTTGAAGGTACTAAATCTTGTCTTGACAAAAAAATTTTACTAAGTAGTCTTGTTAGTAGTCCATAGTTTTGAATTAACTATAAATCATATTTTTAGTCTGGAGCTTTTGAAATTTATAAGAAGCCATCATCCATATCACAGGATGGTAAGTGTTTTAGAAACAATTACTTTTCAAGTTTAATTAATATGGTTCTTAACTTATCTATAAAAAAATTTCCATAATATTTATAATAATAGAAATAATGCAATGTATATATTATTGTGTGTTCAACTATACCTCACTGTTATTTTAATGAAAACTTTGCTAGAAATTCTATGGATTTAAGTTTATAATTTATGGTACATAAAATGATTTTTTACTTTAATTCAATTTCTGCTATTTAAACCAATAACAGTTTTAGTGTGTGTTATTTAAAACAAAGTTTGCTTTATGTAAAGAAAACAATCATATTCTTTTTTTTTTTTTTTAAATTTTTTTTAGGATTAAATTCTAACTGCAATAATTATATTGTTAGCAGCACCATATAATTTATAGAATTGCTAAACTATGCAACATTTATAAGTTGACTGGGTATTTAGTAATATGTAATTCATTTACTAGTATTGCCCTTGTTATTCTAAAATTTTAGTTTCAATTATTTCAGCTTTCAGTCTTAAAATTGACTTTATTATTGTTCTTTATTTTAACTACTTACTTACAATTGTTATATTTATTGAAGAAAAACAATAAATTTCTTTTAGGATTACAAACAATTACTGATTCAAGAGTCTTCTTGTTAGATCAGGTACTTTTTTGTTTATTTATAAATAAAACTGTTTAAATTAAACTTATCAGCATTGAATAATATAAAATAATTTTTAGCTCTAGAATTAGGATTTTAACATGAAATAAATACATATAATTAAATAATATGTATTTCAGTGTTCTAATCTGTTTTCATTCTATAAAATCATGTTTCTGTGTTGTAAAATTATAAGTTTGTTTTATGGAAACATTTTTAAAATTATTTTTGGTAGAAGCTTGTTAAAATATATATGTTATTGCAGTTTAACTAGTTTAGCTTTATCAAAAGTTTTTAAAAATTAAAATTAACTGTTCTTATAAATTTAATATTGCTTTATAAGACTTGATAACATGTTGTTTACAATAAAGAAAAATTTTTATTATTATGCAAATATGTTTTGTCTAAAACCTGTTATTTGAACAATATTAATATTCTATCTTTTAGATTCCCACCCCGATTGCAACCACTGATGATAGCACAGCACTGTTAGTTGATATTACACATTCTGAAGAATCAGGTACAGAAAGGAAAAGGCATCCGTCAGCACCCCCTTTAGCTATTGCTGCTGCTACTATAAAGTAAGTTGAAGTATAAATTTTTATTGTAATTGGTCAAAAGCTTATGGCTCTTTATAGTTGACTCGCTCTCCCATTTTAATTGTTTTATGACACTTCTTCTTGAATAGTCTTACATTAAGAATCAGGGGTCTGTCCAGGCCGAATTTGCTACCGTTTAGCGCAGAGGTCGCCAAGTCTATATAGACCCCCAGGGGTCTATTTAACAAAAGCGGGGGTCGATCCGAATCGGAATGGTCGATTGGGGGTCGAAGCAAAAACAGTTCTTAATACGCAAATCATACATACCTAATTGAGTAGGTATAATGCGTGAATTTTTTTAGAATTGACTTAATGTCAGACATCATTTATAACAACCAAATTAAACGATTCCTATGTGTCTTCCATGCAAAAAAAACTTTTGGAATTGACTACATGACACCGTCAAAATTGAAAGATCATCTTGATAGGGTTCACCCAGATAAAAAAAAATAAAGAACTTGTATTTTTATTACAAAAAAATAAAGAACAAGTATTTTTTATTTAGCGGACTTATTTGGAAAATTTAATGATGTCCAAACAAAGCCGAAAGGAAAAGATGTAACAATTATAGAAGTTCAAACAATACTGTTAGGCTTCCAAGTAAAATTAAATTTATTTAGATCTTCATTGCTACGTAAGGATTATCAATATTTTTCAAATCTGCGACAGTTAGAAATAAAAGAAGAAGACATGGAAATATATACAGGTCATCTTCAAAAATTGAGCGATGATTTTAAACTGCGCTTTTTTTTGATTTGGAAAATATTGATATCCCTAATTGGATTATTGTGCCAATTTCTGATCAAATTGAAAATATGGACATCGACCTGCAAGATGAGCTTGCTGAATTATTTTAGGATCTTAAAGCAAAGACGTTTTTTAAAAATTTAACAATAGACAAATTTTGGACAAATATAAATATAATGCAAAAATATGTAAAACTTTACGAAATAGCTCAGCCATTTATGCTAGCATTTCCAAGTTCTAGTATGGTCAAAGCCGGTTTCAGTCACGTAAATTCAATTTTAACTAAGTACAGAAATAAATCAATTGTGGAGTTTTGAGGGGATTAAAATTGACCAATTTTTAACCCAATATAGCGAACNCGGTAGTTTCACAAAATACTTTTTCTTAAAATTTTATTTTTTTATCCCATAAGAAACGATAAATCCATATTTTTGTGTTGATTTTTGAATATAATTTTTAATTTTTCACAAATTATGTCTAAATTTTCACAAAATAGGTACCTCTCAGAAAAACCTAGACAGACCCCTGAGTTTAGAATTAGCTGCATCGAATCCATTTACGTGCAAATGCATCAAAAATTGTTGAGGGGATGCTAGAAAAATTACACCCTCTTCTGGTCGTGCAATTCCCCATTGTGAAAAAAAAAAATTAAATTTTAAAAAGAAAAATATATGTAGGCCACCAGCAGAATTAAGCTTAACTTTTTTCAAAAAAAAATTTCTGTTTTATTAGCAGAAGGAGGAAATAAGTCATATTTAGTTGAATTATTTATTACATTTTTCCCTAATCATAAATTCTATATTTTTTCTTTATTTCCTTAAAGTAGAGATTCTTATTATTTTAAACAGTGACCCGTTTTTAGTAAAAAAGGACCCAGAAGTATGGATGTTATAGGTTCTAAGCACCCATAGTTTTCAAAATCTAGTGGAATCACTGCATCTTAGCTTTTTTAAATTGATAAGGTCATCTATCTCTCAACCAACCTTGGAGCAATCGCCGATATGGGTGTTTTAAAAGAAGTGTGTGTAGCAGTTTCATCGCAGTACTATACATAGTCAATTGATAAATATATAATATTGAATCTAGTAATTAAAAACCAAAGAGTGGGTAGCTGTTCTAGCTCTGAAAGAGTCCCAGATTGTGCTAAAGAGAAAGTAATTTTTAAGATGTTTCAAAAGAGTGATTTTTTATATTAGAAGGTTTTTTTAATGGCTAACCGATAAGGCGTTATAAATTTAGTTTGCCCAGTCTCGTAATCATGTGAAAAGTGCCACAATAGAAAAAATCTACCAGTAAATTATACAAAAAGGGTTAAATGACCAATGTCCAGCCCTGTATTTTAACCCTTAGTGCTAGCAATGGATGTATACACAGCTCTTTAAAACAGGTGTTAATGCCTACTACTCTTTGTGATTAACTGTCCGAAATTTACAATTTTCTTTGTAGTAGGGAACACTTGAAATTTATTTTCTTAAATGGTGCCACACTAGATCAGTTAAGTTCTTAGCTTTGATTGAAAATATTTAAAATCAGAATTTTCTCATCAGAAATATTTCAAATCAGAATTTTCTTATTGCAAATTTTATTATGAAATTTTATTCTGAAAAAGTTATGTCGAGTAAAAAATGCAACAGAATCACCAAATGCTTAATGTTCCAGTAAACTGGTAAGACTTTTTAACAATTCCTTTTAGTGTTCTGGGTTGGACTCCAAAAAAAGTGTGTAAACCTATCCTTGGACAGATAAATAACTGATTGAACATAGTAGATTTACGTAAATAGCATGTTTGGTATTAACACTAAAAGCCTGACTAAACAAAAAGCTGAAGAAACCAGAAATCCATTGAAAAAAATTTATTTAAAATTATAATTTTTCAACTACCTATCTAAAGTAGCTATTCCGATATACCTCAATTTTTATTGCCATTATCATGGTATAACATTTTAAATAAATACAGATGTAAATATAGAATACTAGTAATTTCTCCAGTAAATAATAATCTTGTAATTTATTCCCATTTAATAATTCCAGTTTTTAATTTTTCATAAGGGTTGATTGTGTTGTATACAGGGTGATTCTAAAAATATGGGCAAAATTTTAGGAAGTGATAGTACACGCCCAAGCAAACAATTTTTATCAAAAAATGCATGGTCGAAAACAAAACGCAAAGGTGCTGGCGCATTTGGAAAGTTGTTTGATGCAAACGTGAAAGCTCCATTCCTGTTGCCGCACTGCGTTACTTGTCGCCAAGCTTTCGGCCGCTGCAGGGAAAGTTCGTGATATGGTGTGTTTCAGAATGTTCGCCTATCTTTTCTTCGCCGTTGTACTGCGTGCATAGCCGTTGCCGGCTACTGTTTTGCACACTTATTGTAATCACATGCTATTAAATTTGCTTTAATAACTTAACTTCATCGTTCTTTGTGTGTTTTTGCCTCATATAAGAACATAAACTTTGACGCCCTCTAGCGGTTTTGCATTTCGTTTTCGACCATGCATTCTTTGATAAAAATTGTTTGCTTGGGTGTGTACTATCACTTCCTAAAATTTTGCCCATCTTTTTAGAATCACCCTGTATATATTTTTGAGGCATGATATTTTTTTAAGAAGTTAAGTATAATAAAAAATTGAAATTCAATGTGAACATATTCAGAATTTTCACATATCCAACATTGACCTATTTCCTGCACATTTCAAATATATATTTATAATTACTATATTTTATTTTATTTATTTATCTTGTTTTAGTGCTGTGCCCCGTGACAAAAGAGAGCTTCTAGCTGCGATACAAGCACATCGTGAAAGAAATATGATGCTGACTTTACTTAATAGTGAACTGAATCAAGAATTGGCCGAAATCATGGAAGAAAGAATCGCTCTAGAAATACAGCTGGAGCAAATGAAACCATTTTCTTAAATACTGAAAAAGTGCATTAAAGATTCGTGTGCAAGATTAGAATGTCTGTTTGAATGCTTGGTATCTCAAAATCATCTTTCCTATATTAGTCCTCTTTATCATTCCATGTTCTCAACTTGTATCTTTCTTCTTTCAAATAATTTGATTGAAAATGTTTTCTTAAGCATTTTTAATCTGAATTTATTTGATTTTATTTATTATAATCAAGATATGTAATGCATTTTTAATATCTGTCTGCTGTTGCTTTTGCATATGGGATACAACTAGAGTTTTTCATAGTTTTAATTAATTTACTTTAGGATTATTTTATTGCTTTTTAAACTTTGAATTTCTATATTCACTATGTTTTTAAATTAATACATATGGATTAGAAAGAGCATATATTAATATTTATGTTGTTGATTAACAATCTAAAACTGCTCTGTAATCCTTTGGTGACTTAAACAAAATTTCTGTGTAAGAAGCAGTTTTATTGTTTTAAAATTTCATTCATAAGCATCTGTGATGTGTGTTAAAACCAAAAATATGTTACAATTTGTAAATGTAAGCCAGTTTTTATGTCTTCTGCTTGCTATATTTATTTGGAATTTAATTTTGAAAAAAATTGAAATCACCAGATTTGAGTAAATCTTGTTAAAAGGAATCTTAAAGTTATGTGAAATGTGATGTTTTTTATAGGGGTGTAGCACGGAAAAGCGATAATTATATATAAATATTATGGTACAAATAATTTTTATTAATTTTTGAAGATAGTTTTACCATAGAAAAAAAACTTTAATGTTTAGGCATTGCTTTATATACTATTTATTTCATGTATTAACTAAAACTAATTAAGCATTAGCAACCACTAATATCGTTCCTTCGCCTGTTGTTTTTCCTGTAAAAAACCAGTTTCTCATTTTGTTATTCAATGAGAAAGCTGTATATTGAGAAGAAACTTTTATGTAAAATCAAAATGTAAAACGCTAAATGAATTTTCTTTTAGAAAATTTAATAATTTTTGAAAACTGTCCGTTGAATGTGAAACATAATTCAAAATTAGTCTATTTCATATTTTTTAACAGACTGGGCATTTGTAACACCTAACAACGTTCTTTTAAGTGATTTTTTCTCTTGTCAAAATTATGTTAGTAACTCAATGAGAAAGTTATGTATTGTGAAGAAATTTTCATACAAACTTTACCTAATGTGAACTGCTAAATCAGTTTATATATTGTTTATTTTATTTTTTTAACAAAATTTACGAGTGCTTGTTATCAAAAAATAAAACTGAAATTTCTTTGCATACTTTACTTTTCTCTAGCTTTTGGTAAGTATAGTGTCTCCCTCCCTCTTGATAAAAAAAGATCTGCAAAATTAAATTTTATTATAATTGGTTTGATTTTTTTTCCATATATATGAATGCACATAATTATTTTAACTTGGGTTTCAAATGTTATTCTGATTTATCCAACTTAAAAATAAGACAGTTTAAATCTATGATATTCCTTGTTTAAGATTTATAAATAATTAATAAGAAATAAAACATTTATTTGAAAACATAATTTAAACCAGAACATAAATTTGAGTGTTTCTTGATGCTATACCTCTGAATTATTGCAAAGTATTTATTGAGTAGAAATAAATATATTAATACACAATGTAATTTACCATGTTATCTTCGTTTTCTAATATGTGCTGTTAAAAGACATAATTGTGTGATGATTTGTTAGAAAAAAAGCTTAATTATGATGGTTTAAAAGCTGTTAGACTCTAGGCCATGCTCCTTCTAAGTATAAAAAGTTTTAATAAATATTTCTTATTTTGATTTGTTTTCCACATAATACTCATTATATATTTTCTAATTTAATTATTTAGCTGCACCCGAAGAATCAAATTAATTTTAATCTTTGAGGTATTTTATTAAAATAGTTACAGAAAAAAATCATATAAATATACAAAAAGGAAAATTAATTCATGATTTAATTAAAATTTTAACTAGCTTTGCCATAAATTATAAACTTATTGCTAATTTACGAATACAATGGCTAATCTCAATTACATTATTAAAATTTCCTTATGCTGCAAAAATCAGTTCCTGAGATTCTTTAATTTATTATTATTAATAAACAAAAAATTTCTTTTAATTAAAGGTAATTAAAAAAAGATATAATGAACTGATTTTGAGAAAAATTAAAATTGAAGAAAAAAGCACTGTAATAGTAAATAAATTTTTTTTTTAATTATTGGAAAAGAAATTTGTATTATTTGACTTTCTATACATATTTTAATTAATGTATATTATTTTTAACTAAAATATGTTTTAATTATGACTTGCGACTTTTTGCTTATGACAGGGAGTGATTAATTATCAAAGTGCAAAAAATGTCTTATTTTTTTCTGTTCTTATTAAAATGATGCTGCAATTTATTTTGTATCCTGACTTTTAAAAATTTATTGAAAATTTTTTCATAAGTATTTTAGGTATATTTAAGGCTAAAAGGGATTCCCTCTCGTAAAATTTTTTAATTAAGAAAATACTTCTACTAATCACAGTGTTAGTTGTATTTAGTTATCAATTTACATAGCTTTTTCAGTGATAATTGCTGATAAAACCTTTGCATTCTCTCTAAATGTTTAAGTATGCATGTTAAATGCTAGTAATATTTAGTTTGTTATATACTTAAAAATGGCAAAAAATTTCTGTTGCAACCTTTTAAAATTCTGGAGAATTTAAACATTGTTAAAATTCCTCCAAAAATTTTTAAATTGAGAAAACATAAATAATATAATAATATTAGTTTATATGCAATTTTATTTACTATAATTACTTTATTTAATTCACTTTAATTTTTAAGCTTAATTTGTACAAAGCACATGGGTTCATAATTTAAAAAACTTTACCAATATTTATGACTCTCCCATATTCATAAAATTTTGAGACAAATGTTATATTCAATATCTATTAAAACATATATTATTTACACTTTTGTACACTATATAATACCACAGTTAGTGATTCTATATTTAATATTCTATCTAACTATAGGTTATTCTTTTTCATATCATTACACTTTTTGTCATTGTTATTGAAAATTAAATAATTTACTAGCTTAGAATTTATCATTGCTACTTAATTTATAGATTTTTTTAAAACCATATTTTGCCACTTTTGGGAATATTACATAGTTATGTGATTATAGAAAATTTATCAATGTCTAAAATTTCTTCTAATAGTCTTAAAAACAATCTCTGTTATATTATTTACTACATGTATTGGGGGGGGGGATTTTTTTTCCTGCTCTTAACACTAGAAAGACTGAAGCGACCAGTTTAGCCCTTCCCAGATTGTGTGTAGATCAATTTTACATAAAATATATTAAAATATAATCATTAATTTTATAAAAACATATTATAGATTTTATCTAAGAAATTCTATGATGTTTTGTTCAATTTAATTAAGAAAAATATTTGATTAAACATAACATAAGCTTCTCAATTTTACGCATGCTTTAGTTTCTTAGATAATTAATCTTCCTTTCCTCTATAAATAACAGTTATTGATATTTTAAAATACTCTTGTCTTTTTATTAAAACGGGGGTACCTTATACATACCAAAGAGTACTCTATACCCAAAACTACCTGTGTTTACAAGATTACCAAAATTCTTAAGGTCTAATCTCTCAGCCCCTCTCGTCTTTTTAGGTATAAGATTCTATAAATACATTTCTATAAGGCTAATACATAATTGATTAAATAAGCATAAAATTATAAATTGACAGCACAAAATTATAAGTCAAAAATACTCACTTTCAGTAAGTTATTTTTCAAATTAAATAGGAATAAAAAGCAAGTGGGGCTAAATTGGCTTCATCCGTCTTTCTACTGTTACATATTAAGAATGAAAGTTGAACATTTTATATATTCTTAAGTATTTTTCATTTTTGTTGTGAAAAGTTTTAATGCTACATAGTTATATGAAATAGTATAAATTTTCTACAAAGAGTGGTGTGGCATAAATAAATGAATTGACAGAAAAATAGCATCAACAACCAACCTATATGTCTAAAAACCTAAGTCATATACATGCATAATTATAATTACAAGACATGTTTAAAAAAAAAAATTAAAAAACCATTGACATGCAAAAAAATATTTATCATTAACTTTCAACTATTTTTATGGAATGAATGAAATTATAATGGTTATTATTTTATTTCATCTACTTAATACCTTACGGTAGATTTCTCTATTTTTAAAATAAGTTATGTGTAATGTGAGAAATTAAAATTATTTGAAATATTTTTAGGAAATTCATAAATCTATTATTAATTTTTTACTATTTAATTAATTTCTAACAGCATAAAGTTTATTGTTCAGAATGTTTATGAGTGTGATTGTGCATGTCTATTAATGTTTATACATATAATTGTACAGAGATATATTTCATACATAGATATTTGACTATGAAAGATTTAATCAAGAGAATGTATTGGACTATATGTGTATATAAACTTTAATATTTACTTATTTGTATATCTGTTAATGAAATTACTAATGATATCAATAATTGTAATTGCTTATAAAGTTAATAGTTTTGCCTACATCAGAATTATAAAGTAGTTCCTAAAATTTATTAAATCTCGTATAATATAACAATAACAACCTAGGTTGTTTGTTATAAAGTAATATCCTTAAAATCAAAAAATAATCTTCAATTGCTTGAAGACAATGACACTGCTACAGTTACAAAAAATTTTCTAATTTGTAATTATGCTGAACGCTCTAAAATATATAAGTGGCTGGTCTTTATTTAAATAAATAAAAATGCAGTTACAATGTTGTTGATGATCCCTGCCCGTCAGAGTTAACTCTTCAAAAAATTTTAATCTCATAAAAAATAAATAATTATTTTAATTAAGATATTTTTTCTTATATTAGGTCTAGTAAATCACATTTTAGTGATGTTATTTCTTTTGATAGTTGTGTAAATCAGTGGTTCCCAATTTTTATTTATTTTTGGACCACGGAACCCTCAATAATCAACCTCCTTTCATCAGAACCCCAATTTTTTAAATAAAGTTAAAGTGTCCAGGATAGCCTGGTTGGTAGGGCACTGGGCCCGTGTCCAAGAGTTCGTGGGTTAAATCCCCGCCGGCTGAAGACTCTCCGTGTAGTAAATGGTGACTGCACGTTAAATCTGTCGAGTCGCAATGTCCTCCATGTTCCCATAACAAATCAATACCTCTGGGGGTACTGATCCAGGAGTTTCCTTGTCTTCTGGATTGGTTCAAAATTACAAGGCTATGGAGTTGAACATTAGTAGTCGTAAACTCAAAATGGGGTCAGCTGTTCAACGACAAATATAAAAAATAAAGTCAAGGTAATTGTGAATGCTATATCCTATAAAAGACTACTTTTAAATGTTTAATTAGAGGTATGAAGATTTTTAATTTTTTTACTATTAATAATCTTAAATTATGTTTCTTATCCGACAGTTGAATTTGCAGTCCTTGTGCTCTATCAAGTCTAGTTATGAATTTATTTTTGGTGTAGATACAAGAATATGAATAAAATAGGACAGATCATGGTCTACTTCAAAGAACTGCATTGGAAATTGTTATTAGGGAAACATAATTCTTTATTAAAGATATTAATTATTTTATTTTGATTTAAAAAGCGTAATGGTAAATACTAATACGATACTGTTCTTCATAATTTGTTCAATATATTACCATTAGAAATATTATATTTTCTATTTAAAAAGGCTATTTCTATATCTTCGGCAATTTGCTTGAAATAATTTCATTAAGGCAACCGAAAGATTAAAAAAGTTATGAATTATATGTTGGATCTAAATATTATCTGAAGTTAAAAAAACTCATCACTAGTACTAACTCAATTATAAAAAAACCCTTTAGTTTTTCCACTAGGGCTGCATGGAACACTATTTGGGAACTGCTGGTTTAAATTGCATTATTAAAAAAAAATTATCCAGGTTCAGTAGGTGAAAGAAATATTGTTACTTAGAACAATTCACAGAATTAGTGTTTTATTATTTAATTTTAATTAGGTATGAAAATGTAATTTATATTTTAAGGACTAAAAAATATTTTTAAAAAAATTATTGTGGCCCATAGTGTGTGATAAAGATTGTTTGAAATCTTTTAAACAGTGTTTTGTTAGAATAATTTTCTACTTTAATTGGATAAAGAATAAAAATCAACACATGTTTTATTGGTGTACATTTTAAAATTTTATGAACAATAAATTTAAAAAAAATTTTGACTGCTAAAATATCAATATTTTATTCATTTTTAACTAAATCTTTTTTATGACACTTTAATCAAACCTTTGATTAAATAAAAAGATTTTTTCGAATGATTAAGTATTGTGAACATATTATATAAATTTAAATTCCTGTGGTTTGAATATTTTATTATTTATTTTTAAATATTCTGTTTAAAATTATTATTTATCTATTTCAGTTAAAAAATAATATATTTCTTAACTTTTTTATATATAAAAAAAATCTGCATAATTTATAATGGTGGAAAAGTGATGGAAATGTTTTAATTTATGTAATGAATTGAATTTTAATTAAATAATATAATTTAGTTTAATATATCAATAACTTGTTTTGATGTAGATTTTAGAGCAGAAAATTAAGTTAGGAAAGTATAAAAAGTAAGTCTTCTGGGCATCTATTATCTATTTGAATTGATTAATAAAAGTAAACATTAATAGACTTTCAGATAAATGTAGTATTTGTCATCACTAATTAATTCAAAATTACCATTCAGAACAGGTGCAGTTATAACCACTTTCCCATCTCCTTCCGTTATATTAAAAATCTAATTTACTATTTTTTGTGTTATATACAGTTTTATTCAAATTTCTATATTGATATTTTTTTTTTGCCCGTACAAAAATCTAAAGTATTTAATTGGTAAATATATATAAAGGGAAAAAAAATATTTATTATTAACAGGCTGTTTTTTTTCCCTTTTTAAAATTTATCACTTAATATAGCATTAGGAAATAAATTAATTCATAAAACAATCCGATCAGTAAGATTTCTGAGATTATAAAGAGATTAGTTAAAACTAAGCTGATATTTGAATGCAGTGTATCTCTACATCCTTGAACCTATATGTTAAAATTACATTTATTTTCATTATAAATAGTGTATAGTTTTATATGACTTGCTTGAACGCTGTGTTGTGAATGAATTTGAACTCAGATATAATGAACATTGTACATTATTTTACTAACGTATGGAATTATCTGGATTGGAATTATTAAATTTTATTAATAATGTTATAAATGTGTTTGTTTTATTTTGTATCTTACAATATTTGTTTAATTTTCTTCGCAGTTTCTACTATAGCTGACAATCTGCAAAGAAACAATAGCTCATTTTTTTATAAAAATCTTTAACTTCTTGATTTTAATTTTTTTTTCCCCACATGAAAATGTGTGTGTGGAAAATATATTAAATTTAAACTGTGGTTTAGTTTATAATTATTCTTCCTCTTGTCTCTTTAAAAACTAAAATTCACAAAATCATAATCAAATTCATCTAAATTGAACAGTATTTTTTTTTTTTTGTAGACTGCTAACTAAATTATTCTCTAAGATTAACTTTTATACAAAGCATTGCTTTACATCAGATTTCAATAAAAAAATAATAACTCATTTACTTGGAGTGTTATTAGTAATTATCTAAGTTTAAATTTAATATTAACCCTCAAATGGTCTGCTTGTTTTATTCTTTTTCCTGCTCTCCTCAACTAATCAGTATTGTATTTTTTAAAAATGTGACATGCTCAGACCTTTTTTTTTTTTCCTTTTCATTTTTAGAAATTTTAAATTACTATTTTATTCAACTGCTCACGAACTGTAGTAACTATTAGTTACTACAGTTATTTGCAAGAAACCCATGCTAAAGAATTTTCAAGTGCATCTGAGAGTTGTGACAAGTTTACTTGTGATTGGAACGGGTAACTGCTTCTTAGAGGAAAGGGTATTGTAGTATAAAATTGAAAATTGATTTTAAACTTTTAATGGTGAGCATAAAATTATATACCGATTTTCAGTTTCTTATTTTAATTTGATACTTCAATACCCCTATTTACTTTAAGCAGTTAGCTGTTTCTGTCATATGTGATCTTGTTGTGACTCTCAGGTGCTCTTGAAAAATTTTAAACTTAAGAGTTCCAATTTTGATTATTATCCTAAATAATTATGATAGGCAAATGTGGTAATTTAAATGAAGCAGGATTGTTTCAAACAAACATTGCAATTTATTAAACATGTTTACATGTACAAATAAAGTATCAATGGTAAAATTATTGATGTTCAACAACAATTTAAAAAATTAACTTATGCTTATTAATTTCTCATGTAAGCAATAGTTAATACAATCATTCATATTCAAAACAATTCCAATAATTGTATTAAAACCATGAATGCTAACTTGTAGTGATACTATGGAGCTAATTTCCTGTAATAACATCAAAATTAAGATGGAAATTCCATTAGTTACAATATTTAAATAAAATATATTATTAACAAACAAAAGTAATAAAAATTATCAGAATTATTATTTTAGTTTCCAAGCAAAGAGTTCCTTCATATTTATAAAACAGTTACAAAAATTAAAATGTCCAACACAAATGAAAAAATAGTATAAAATCAATGTTAATATTTTTAAATGAATTATATTCAGTTAGTTAAAAAATAATTTTAATTATATCGATTAAATAATAAATTTATAAAAAAAATCAGATATATTACTTCGAATTTTATAAAACAAATATCGATCCTCCATTTGGCAAAAATGAAAGGTTTCATCTCCAAGTTATAAAACAAGTACAATGCTAAAGAAGTAACTCATAAATTGAAAAATTATACCTTAAAATAAATGATTTAAAAAAAAATCAGGAAATCATACTTTTTTTTAAGGGCAGAACTCTTCTGCAGTTGGCATCCTTGTGACGTATTAAACACTAGTTAATTCGTGTCAATAAACAATAAAAAAATAAAAGGATGCAACAAAATATAAAAGTTACTAAAATTAAAAGGAAAAAAAAAGACATGATAAAATAAGTTATTAAAAAAATACAGGAAATAAGACTGCCATAATTTTAAAAAGCTTTTTGTAATTCCTATGTAGAAACTATGGAAAATATTTAAGTGGTATTTCTATGATGCATTAAAACAAATCAATATGCACTGGTATGAGTAAAATGCAAATGTAAGAATACTCTTAATTCTTTATAAAAATATGGTTTTCAAAAATCTTCAAATGTATACAAACATTACAAAAAATCTATACCAATAATGTAAGACATCAACTTCTACTTTCAGAATATGTAGTAACTTTTCTCTAAATATAATTTAAAACATAGTCAGTTTATTATTAAATGTTTAGCGCTTAGAGCTAGTTTTATTAACAAAATTTTTTAATTGTACTTTCCGTAATATAAGATGAAAACTTTTTTCTGTTTTATAATAATAAGTATTAGTTACATTATTTCGTAACAATAAAATAATCTTGAAGATATTTAATTGAACAGGGTGGGTAGACCTGAAAATAACCATCCTCCTCATGGTGGGTCAACAAAAAGGGTTAATCAAAGTTAAATTAACCACCAGCTACTTTCTCCCCATCACTTTTTTTAAAAATAATTTAATAATAAAAGAACAAAACACCAAAAAAAAGAGACCACCTTGAATAACCTAATGATCAGATTTTCACATTCTGGGACTCGATCTGAATGGCCTCAAATATGCTAATTAATAAGTGCAGACGATATTTTGTTACAAAATCAGATACAAAAACCTACTTTCTCTGATTAAACATACAACTATTTTTTTTTTTGACGGATTCCGATTTCGGGGTAGCTGCAATCTGGGAAAAGAGACTAAGACAGATTTTTCATTATAAAGTCTAATGTCAATTTTGATCTTTCATAGTCTCCATCAATTTGTGGTGGAAAGATTCATGAGAATTCTTTAACAATTCACATATTTAAAAGTTGTAATGTATACAATAAATGTATTTTGCCACCCCAAATATTATTACATAAAGTTCTTTAAAATCAGTGTGCTTAACTAAATTTTGCTAAATATTTATATTATTTTTATTGATGAATTAATATTTAACGGCCGTAAAGTATTTCTAATTTGAATTTTTTCTGAAAAATAAAATTTATTGCATGTGATAAAAAATTTAGCAAAAGGCTGCTATTAAATGAAACGGACTTATTGATATTGGTCACTGACTCATTAGGTTTGAGAAAACAATGGCTACCAACTGAAAATTTAAATTTACAGGTCTAAGGGTGGGTAAATAAAGGTATAGTTTTATGAAATCAATCCGGGTCAAACTTCTAACAGGTGTATCATAGATTATAAAGTTCAAGTTTCAGTTAAAATAGTTTGAAATTTCACTTACAATAAACATTGTAACAAAGTCAAATGAAAGATTACAGTTCAGAATAACATATGTTAATGTTATTTATTAACACACATGTGAGCTCTATGTGCATACCTTGTTGGTCAACAATCTACATATGGTAAACTATCTGCATCATTTGCATATGATTTTAACAGTAGAGTACCTTCAAATTAAAAAAAAAAACATTTAAATATTTTTCTGACAAAAGTCTCAACATGATCTCAATGACATACATACACTTGAAGATTCATTCCATGGAACCACAGCTACTAATCTATAAGTAATGTCAGTTTGGATTCAAGAAATTACTTACAATCAAAATTTATAAATGTATGAAAATTGTTGCTCTGATTTAAATTTCTGAAGGAATACATAAAAACATTTAAAAGTTATGTTTTTGATTCGCTAAAAATATTTTCATTAAATAAAGAGATACCAGAAAATAATGACTTATTTTGAAAAAACAAAAAAAATATTGAAGTGGTTTTTTCTGCAGTTTTAAAAGCTTAATTCTATTTTCTGACAACAAAAAAAAAAATATATATATATATATGTATATATAGTTTTTGTCTTTACAAATAGCTAAAACTAAAAGATAATAATTTTACAAAAATTCAATTTAATAAACTAAAATATTAATTTTTACATTATATCAAAAACTATTTTGAGAAATTTTTTTATCACATTTGAGTGCAATATAAAGCATAATATATCATACATACTGTAATGAACAATGTAAATGATATTAAATACAACATTTTGTACAAATGAAAAGTTCAAATGTTCATATGTATATTTTTTTAACATAAATCAAAAATCTTATTTGATAATATAGTGCCCTTAAAAGTCTATATCCGTCCCTTTCAATTATGTCTAAACTCCTGAGAAGCATAGACATTTATTAACTAATGTCTATACTCCTCGCATCCAATTCCAAATAAATCATACGCTTTGGTTAAATAAAGATCTACAATGCAATCAACAGTCATATCCAAGTAAGAACTGTTACTTTTTTTCTTATTAGGAAGAGAACTCTGCAATGACTTGTTTAAGCTTTGATTCAGAGAGGAAGGTAGAAGCTGCTGTGTTGCATTCCTTTTTTTTCTGGAAATATCAGTTTTCTTAGGAGTAGTTTCCTTTTTACTTCCAGCAACATCATATGAAATATTTTTTTCATCTGGCAACGGAACAATTACAGGAGAATCCCTCCTTATCCCAGATTTGGAGTCGCACTGTTTTTTCTTCCTTTTTGGACTTAACTCATCAACTGAATTAGAGACACTATCACCAATTAAATTTAGAGATTTTTTTCTACCTCTTTTAAGTTTTGGAAGGGTTTTTACCACTGGTGCTACAGCTTCAGTTTTTATTTTCTTTTGAGGTGGTGGCTCGTTTGTTTCATTGTCAAGACTAAAACCACTTTGTACAGTATACAAAACATTTTCTTCAGGATGATTTTGGTTGACATTGCGCTTAATTGAAGAAGGTAAAATATTCTTTAAAACATTTGACTTTGTTTCTACTACTTTTAATTCATCTTTCACAGTTTTCTCCGATATTGTGGGCAAACAAGCTTCTGATTTTATTTGAGAAGTTTTTCTTTTATTCCTTTTCTTACCCTTTACATCCCCGGAATCGACAATCAGTTCGGTTTCACTTGCGCTAGTGCAAGAACTAGTAGCATTTTTAATGTTTTTGTTTAACTTTACTGAATCCTCTTCAACTAAGGCTTCATATTTAGGATTCACATCAGAGTCAGATGTACTTGATCTGATGCAATTTCTTTTTCTCAAATTTCTTCTTTTGCCAATGGGGATTTCTTCATCTGAAATTTGAATAAAACCTTGATCTACTAAAGCGATATTTTTGATATCAGGACTAGAAATCTTAGATTGTGAGGCATCTTTTTCTTGCTTCAAAATAACAATTGATTCTTGACTCTCAACAGAAGCGATGTTTGACTTTGAATCATAAGAATCCACAACATAGTTATCTTTTAAGGCGAGTAAGGCATCAGAGCGTTTTCTATTGCTTTTTCTAACTGGTGTGCCAATCACTGTAGAATTTAAATTTTTATGATCTTGCAAGGCATTATTTGAGTTAGTGACATTCAGATCTGTTCCTTTCTTTGTTCTACCTCTACTTTTATGAATAGAAATTGTTGAAGGATTTTGTATTAAATCAGAACTAATATCAATAGCATTGTTTTGTGATAAATCAGTGCTTAGTTTAATTTCATCCAAAGCAGGTTGCTTTTCCTTCCTTCCCCATTTCTTTCCAACTTCACATGATAGCATTTTAGGTATAGTTTCTGTATGAAGTTTTATATTTTTTGAAATTTCTTGATTTTTAGTGGCTGCTTCTTGAGTTTTTTCAATATTATGGTCTTGAGATGAATGGCTTAGAAGGTTTTTGGTATTTTGACGAAGCAAATTTTTCTTTTTGTTTGGACTAGCTAAAATTGGTTCTTGTTTAACTTTCTCAATTAAAGAAATATTTTCTTCAAGCGTGTTTGTTATAATCACCTTTTCCTTTTTTGGCCTTCCTCTTTTACTGATTGGAGAACAATTCTGATTAGGTTCCACATGGGTTTTGTTTTTAATGCTTTGTACAGTGCCTGATTTTGCCGAATCATTTTCAGCGAGTGTTCCGCTAACATGTCCCTTTTTACCTCTTTGATTTAAATAATGTTTCGTTCCTCTTTTATTACTTATACCAGAAGTAGAAGGTTCATTAGATTGATTTAGTAAGGAGTTCTGTAGTCTACTGCTTACTTCTGAACTCAGACCTAGACTTTTCTTACTACGTATATCTGCCTGTAAAATCTTTTGACTAGAGTCATGTTTCAGGTCATCATTAAAACGTTCTGGATACACTTCAGTGCTGACTTCGCAGGACAATGAGCCTTGATTAGTTGAAGTTGAATTGGGTGAACCTTCGGGAGTTGAGGATTCGAAAGCACGAGGAGAATACACTAAAATCTCCTCATGTGTCATTTTTTCAACATTAATTGAAAATGGCTTCATTTTTAAATGGTCAAAATCTTTTCTCTGCTTTCTTCTTTTTCTTATCTTACTTCTGGAAGTCATACTTGGAGAATTAGAAGTTTTAGAAGAAACTAATGGTTTCTTTTCATTTCTTATGACCTTTATAATAGTCTCTGGGGTTATTTCTTCAGATTCTTTTACAATAAGTGCCATATCATATGGATTTTCTTTAAGGAGAAAATCAGTTAAATTGGTAGAAGACTCACCATCAGGTTCATGTTTCTCTTGACTTTCTTTTAAAAGGATTGAACTTGCAGACATTGTAACACTTTTACTTAATTCATCTTTCTCTTGGCTTGCGGGGGTAATTGTCTGTGTTTTTTCTTCCACAGGAAAAATAGGCATAGACTCTAAAGATACAGGAATATGGTCTATATATTTTCCCTCATTTTGGAAGCAGTCAAATACTGTTGTTTTTACTTCAATAGGAAGAAGAGACCTTTTAGAATTATCATTTGTATGATCTGAAAGATTACCATTGCTCATCTCATCCAAGCCTGAACATTTTGCTTGAACTATAGCAGAAAGAATTTCCTCACCAGTTAATTTATCATTATTAGGAACATCTAAGAGATTTTTGGTGTTATTTTCTTCTCTGGCTAACAAATCAGTTTTCTGATTTTGATATTGGTTACCATTTTTAAAATCTGAGGAAAGGTCTATCAATTTTTTATTGCCATTAATTTCTTCTTGAGTGGGAAATTTTATTTTACTGTGGGTGCTTTTTTTGGAAGCAAGTATTTGATTTAATTTATCATACTGCTGCGTCACAAAATCACTTTCTATTACTTCTGCCGAAGAGATATCAGCATTTTCTTTATCATTTTGAAAGTTCCCAGATGTAACTAGTTTTACTACTGTAGGTGAAGATTTTTTACTGTCTTTCGAATTACAAACATTATCATTTAATTTTTGACAAGAAATCATTTTTGAAGGTAAACTTTCATCTAAGGGGGACTTCTCAGTAGTATTTAATTTTGGAAATTCAGATTTCTGCTTAGTATCTGACGAAAGAATTTTACCATCCTCTATATCATCATTTTGTGCAGCTAATTTCTTAATCAAATCTGTGTACCTAGGTGAAAGTGTATCTTGCAATGAAACATTTTTTTGTTCACTTTCATGTGGTGCACTAACATCACTACATGAAGTTTGACTTTCAGGGAGTAAAACAAGGTCCTTTTGAGTTTCATCTGTTTTGGGTTTTAAGTCAAGTTGCTTCATAAAAGAATAAGGCTGTGAATCATTATTTGATTTACTTAGTGAATCACTAGGACTATTGCAAATACTGTTCAAAAAATTCAGATCATCACCATCACTCCAAACATTCATGTTTTTTTCGCCACACGTTTTTCTTGAAGGTGTTTCACGGTTATTAGATCTGTTTCTAGGTTCTTCAATATCTTGCGATAAATCAATGAAAGGTATGTTGGCATCTTCCGCTTCCCCGTCTGCAAGATTTAACTTTTCTGTTAATTCTGACTCATCAGTTTTAATTTCAATTGTACCTAAGTCATCAAATGCTTCAAACATAACCATGCACACATCTACCAAACTAATACAATGAGGCGGGATAGCTGCAAATTTTAAAACTTCGGGATTTAAATCATTACACTCCAACCAACAATCAGAACTTGGATCCCTAATCCATGATACAAAATGGTCAACGGTCATTTCCTCAGACTTTTCTAGAGTCATCAAACCTGTGACTTTGTATTCGCGTCCATATATGGAAAAATCTAGGGGATACAATTCCCCTTTACCAGCTCCATTTTCAAAATGGAAAATGAGGCATTTAGGTAAAACCTTGTATGACACTTTGATTCGTTGTTCTTGATCTTTACATGAGGGACATTCACTGACAAAAAAGGGTGAGCTGGGTTGAAATGCAACAACTTTTGGAAGAGTTATAATGGGTTTATTAATGGTTGTGGTACGATTCATACCGCACTTTTCACATAAAAATGATTTTGTATATTCGACTTCAAAGAACTTTCTAACAGTTTTATCCTCACGTATTAAATTGAACAGAGAGCAGAATGCACTCTCTGGATCACCATTATTGTACTTCAAGATTGGCTGCAAATACTCCAATGATGAATCTTGAACAGTGCTCAAGAACTTTTTCGCTATTGCAAGTCTTTGCTCAATATTCCAGTCACTACTATCATCATTAAGTAAACAAATTGCTTCATTATAATATTTTACAATTGTTTTTACGTGTGCCGAACCATTTATGTCACACTCGTACCTGAGTGTTTGATTATGGGCCAGCAGAGCCATAGATGCATCTAACCAACAAACATTTGAAGTATTCTCCCACATGCAGTAATTTAAATTTAAAATTTCAGTTTTTGGAATTATGCGAAAATCTGCCTCATTGAATGTTCCCACAATTTCACTCGACTCACTCTCAGAATTCTTTAATGCAATCTCAAATTTTAACCCTTTTTCACCCTTTGAGCTGTTTTTAGAATTCGCTGATGATACAGAATTTTTAGATTTACTTTCATCAGTTTCGCCAAAGCCACCCTTTTTCTCTTTAAGTTTATAAATTGCACAATCCAATCTTTCTTTTTTACGAGCATTGTCTTCTTCAGGATTATCAGAAGAGTCAGCTCGATTTCTTCGGGTAGCCATAGTGTTACCCACTTTTTGTTTCCTTTACTAGAAGAAAAAACAAAAATTTTTGTTAAAAAGATGTTTAATAAATATTAGAACTTTGATAACCGAAAGTAACTGGGGTCAGACTTATTTTGGATAATCAAATTATTTTGATTATATATGAAGGGCATTCAAATGAAACCTGGTCACTAGTATAAAGTAACGGTAATGATTTTATTAACTCACAGATGTAGTTATACACAGTACACATACTAAAAAATCGTCACCAAAATTGTTGGCACATTTATCTCTTTGCGACACGAACCGGTCGATTCCACCTTTGAAGAAGCTAGTAGGCTGCTGTCGGATCCAGACCTGGACCCAGTCACACAAGTCGCCGTCCGCTGTGTATCGATGTCTGCGAATAGCTTGTTTTGGAGGTCCAAAAACATGAAAGTCACATGGTAAAAGGTCTGTACTGTACGGTGGATGTTCCAGCGTTTCCCACCGAAACTGCTGCAATGTCCAGTAACTCGTGCCCCTCAAGGAATCTTTTGCGCCCTTCTACAACACTTGAACCTCTCAGACTGTACTTACCGTACACTGCTTCATCCATCGATACATTTCCTGACCTCCAACTCCCTCCGCCGCTAAAAATTGAATCACTCCTCGTTGTTTCTGCCTACTCACCTGCATGTTCCGTAATGGACGCTAACTTCTGCAACCACCTTCTCTATGGCATGCAACCACACTGTGGCTATGCAAACGTCAAATGTTACGCATGCGTCAGTCTCTCTACCAATATGTGGAAATAAGTAATTTTAAGTGTTTTAGTCTCTTGCAGATTCGTCTCCAGGATGGAAGTGAAGAGAAGTCAAGAAATAATCAGCTAATCAATGTGACGTAAGACATCGTGTTCTATAAAAGAACAAACAATTTTTTTTTTCATGATGTATGAGCAGCCCGCCTTTCCCTTTAGTCTTTGGCTGATGGCCTGATATCCATCATAGGATTATGATTGTAGATGTTGATTCTGTATATATTTATTCAGCATTACAATTTTTAAATTTAAATTAAACATTTAAAGTATTAATAAATGTTGTGTACAAGTTTACTTGTGTTTTCATCATTTTTAGCGTACTCTGCATTGCGAGTTAAACCCACAAAGGTTATGGGCCTTTACCCACGTCAACGATACAGATACAGAAGAAATTCTATCTGGGAGTTGAAAAATTTATTTTAATAGCAGGAAGAAACCAAATTTTGAATATGGAAGGAAATTTAGAATCAACGAGTTTAGCTTTTCCCAAACTTGGAGTATTCAACTACGATAGTTGGAAGCGTGACATGAGAGTAGCTCTAATGGATCGTGGAAGTTGGGAATTTGTCGGTGACTTAACTAGTAATTCATATCGATCTCATTGTTAATAATGCATCGATATTTTAGTATCAATGAATGTCCTATTTTATTATCGGTGTATAAGTCGACCCACTGATTTTCTCAACATTTTGGAAATTGGAAATGTCAACTTATACACTGGTATATATAGTAATACAGTAGAGAACCATTTATCCGGTATCCAGATAACCGGGAAACAAGAAAACCGGAAAACATTTTGCTCGGTTTTTCCGCCATTTTAAACTTGAACGATTATGAAAATTAGCGGAAATTGTACCCATCCTTGAAGTTGAGTAGAGGAAAATGTAAGGAAGGGGAGAATTTTTTTCCCCGTTTACCCAGAGAAACGTCATTTCCTCTGTGACCTTGAAGGAAGGGAGGAATGTTTGGAAGGGAGGAACAGAAGATGAAAGAGAAAAATATATTTATCTGTTTGACATCGGTTAATAAAAATAAAATCTTTTTCTTCCGAATAAATTCTTATTCTTCTGAAGTGCGGTATCATTTGCAAGTTTTTATTGATGTGGAATCACATCTTCTGTAATTAAAAATCGTGTTTTTATCAACAAAAAAAAAATAAATAAAAGGAGAATTGTTTATTAACTTAAACATAGGATTATTTTATGAAGCAGATTGCAGTCTTGTTTTTCTGATTCCACTACGTTTGATTTTTTTCTTCTTTTCACGATATATTTCGCGCTCAATAAATAAATTCTTTTAATTCATAAATTTTATCATTGGGTTTTTTTTTAAAATTCCGTTGATCTTGCCTTGTTCCGGGTTTTAACATTTATGCTAGTGCCTTTTTTAACTATCGTTTTGGTTCGATAATTTTCAAGTGTTTTTATTTATATTAATAAGTTTTCCTTTTATTTTATCATTTCGCCCGTATAATTAGGTATGAAATATATTGCGTTATTTAACCATTGGTTTTGTTTATATTAGTTAATTTAGGAATTGTAATTATTTTTAAAAAATAAATACGAGAATTTAGTATTTTTTAANCAGTGTTGAGCATAATCTTGTATGTCTTTACAATTTAAAAACTCCTTGAAAAAGTTTTTTTTGTTGCAATAACGGACCCTATTTGCACAAATTCATAAAAGCAGACCCTGTTTGACAGAATGTGAGTAATTTTTTCACAATTTCACGAAAAACGGACCTTTCACAAAATGTCTGGACAGACCCCTGGAGATGGTCACTTACAGAAGTTTAACCGTATTTGATAATGCTAAACATTTTCGTTACCAAATTCTGTATTACCGTATTGCATACTATCATTGTAATATAATTTTGTAAATAACAAGTAGTAATAAAAAATGAATAACACTTAAAAATATAATATAAAGTAATAATAACTACATCAAAACACATAGTTTCTTTAAAAATATATATATACCTTAATCCCACAGTTTCGAAATCGACAAAATCTGGTTTTATAAATCTTCTCTCTTTCAGCTTTGAACCTGTTTGAGAAACATTTACATAAATAAGTGCTGAAATATTTAAATATTGTGATCATGTGAATCATAACAGGTGTTATTAATTACATACAATGTTAGTGAAACTTAGAATAATAAGAAAATGCACCTTTTCTTTGAGAACCTTTAAATCATAAGTCATTTTTGCAAAGAGGAGAATGGGCATGTGTTTATTAAAATCTCAAACATTACCCTTCTGCATATATTTCTAACAAATAAAGAAAATTTTATGAATTTAAATTCAGCTTAATTAAAAACTTATTAAGAAATAAAAAAATCATTTTGCAAATATATTTAGCAGACAAAAGAAAATATTTTATTAGTTTTTAAGTTATAGAAAACTATTATAAATAGATATTTTCTTATAACTTTGTTATTAGTATTGTAATTTGGTGACACTCAATAGTTCAAATATGGCACTTATTATGAAGCAAAGGTCGAGAATCGTTCTTAAAAAATTTTAGACAGATTTATTTGATTTTAATCAGATTTTTTCAGTTTGAGTTAATTAAATCTTTTTCAAAAAAATTTACTAAGAAATTTATTATTATTAATGAAAACACAAGCTAACAAATCCTGAAAGTAATTTCACAAATCTTTTAAAAAAAAAGAAAACTTCTGAAATGCAAATGAAAAGATAGACTGTTTTGCACCTTAGTTTTGCCTGAGTACCAAAACAGTACCTTTGTTAACTTTCCCTTAATTGCTGGTTGACATGTTTCTAAATTAAATAACTTAACTTACCTAAAAATTTTTAAAAAAAAACGCATTGTTAGAAAAAAAAACATTCTAAATTTATTTATTACCTTTCTTTCATGCTATAATAGGAAAATTTCCTGTCTAAACTATACATACTAATTAGTTTAAAACGAGGTTACTAGAATTTTTATTGCAATTATGTCATCAGTTAAAATTTCTTAAAAATAATATTTTTCTTAAAAATATAGCAATGTATATAAAAAAATATATTAAATAACTAAACTATATTAAATATCTTAATTCTGTTCTTAGAATTTTAAAAAATTAAAAAAAGAAATCAAATTCAAAGCATTAATACAGGTTCATAGATTTATTGTGTACACAGTATTAATGAAATATTTCTGAAAAATCCACATCTCTATTTTTTAACTGGATATACATATTTCAATTAAATACTTCTCGAAATCAGTCAATGCCCCATTAAAATATTTTTTTCCAGCTCAAAAAAGATATCTGATGGGTCAATTTGGTTAAATTGAAAATTTGAACACACTTGAAACTTAATTAATAAACAATTTTATGAAATTAATGTTAATGAATTAATGTTATGAAATCAATAAACAATGTCATGAAATTAAACAATGTTATATTATGAATGCAATGTTATTAATTGTTATGAAATTAATAAACAATGTTATGAAATTAAACAATGTTATGAAATTAAACAATGTTATGAAATTAAACAATGTTATGTTATGAAAACAATGTTATTAATTGTTATGAAAGTTTTCCAACTCCATGTTCACAATGGGGAGATTTCCATATCGTGATCTGTGGCAGAATAACTTCAGAGTAGATGCCTGCAAGAAACTAAAAAACACATCACAGAAAGGGACCAAGTCAAAAGGTTTAACTCATGCAACCCTTGTGCAAACATCTACGCGTCTTTTGTAAAAAAATTTTAAAGTTTCTAAAAACTAAAGTTTCTTTTAAAGTAAAATCTATTTGGCACCTAGGCGATTGTAGTCTGTGCAACAGATCACGATAGGGAAACATCAATTTCCCAGCTCCTAATTAATGCTTAACCAACAGTTGCAATGATTAAAGACTTAGAGAACAAACTATCCATTATAAAATGAATACTTCACACAAAAATAACTTAGAATTCGGTCAATTTTCGATTAAAATCAGAATGATTAAAACTTTCAGAAATGAAATTTAGAAACAAATTCGATTATTTAAAATACGGAATCATCTTTCAACTCAACTAAAAATAATTTAAAATTTCCAAAATGAAGCATTTAAACAAAAAGACTGATTGAAACTTTCTTATGAAAAACTGAACTTCACACTCAATACACATATAATTTAAAATATTTTTAGAACATTTACCCAATTTATGGGAATATTTCCGCTTCATGATCTGATTCCGTATCGTAATTTTAAACTTTCAAATTTTTAAACAAAACATATAGAAGTTTGCTCTTCAAGTTGGAATCTTCCTGAGATTTTCCGCTTTGTTTTTTTAGTTTCATGCAGGCCGCTGCTCGAAAGTTACCTAGACTTGTTAATCTTCTTCATTTTATATTCTACACGACCTTAGTTTTAAACAATTGAAAAGGTTAGAAAAGTTTCATTCCAAAAATTATTAAAACTATGATTAAAACTGTATGATAAAAAATTAAAGACAAAGAAAAAAAATACTTAATTTTTTTTTTAAATACACTATATGCAAACAAAAATTAATTCGACTATGATTTGATTTATGTTGTCTGTGTTATAGAAGTCGCGCATAGCTTACAAATAAGTTAGATTTTGTGATTAAAAAACAAGCACTTAAAGTAAAAAACATGTATTACTTTAAAGATAATAGCCAAAATAAACAAAGCAATATACAAATACAAGTAAATAGATCGATTTCTAATATCTCTAAATTCACAGAGTCGGAGATCTTATATTTACAATCAATAAAAATAAATAATTAAAAAACAAGATGCTTACAGAATCTGAATTAGAACTTATTTACATTGAAAGATAAATTTTAGAATTTCATTTTCGTTCGGTACCGAGTAAGAACAAAATAATGAAAACAAAGTTTTTAATAATTACGGTTAACAGTTAATATGAAAGACATTTAACTTAAAGGGTTATTCTCACTATATGTGATTTACACATCTCCGATAAACGACAATGAGAGAAAACAAAAACCGAAAATCGGATTGGTAAAATGTATTTTGTCTAGTAAATGATATGTCCAGTATGTATGGACCAAAAGTATGGACTTGAAAAAAATTTCAAAATATTGTTTGACGACTTTATAAGATTATTCTTATACTCTATGATGCTGTGACGTAACTACTATTACGATTATTAANTTTTGAAAAAAAAATCGGAGAGTCACGTGGACAGATACGCTCTATGATTGGTTGAAAATTTGATCGGTACGATAGCAAAATGAATTTTGCTGCGCCGATAATCGGTGCAATAGACACTCCGATAATAAAAACAAAGTTTTTCGATAATCACGGTTAACAGTTAATATGAAAGAATATAAACTATCAGAAATATCAGCAGCCGAGCGATTTTGCCATTTAGCTTAAAGGGTTATTCTCACTGCATATGATTTACACATCTCCGATAAACGACGACAATGAAAGAAAACAAAAACCGAAAATCGGATTGGTAAATTGTATTTTGTCTAGTGTTGTTGTTGCAGTTCATTTACGTCGCACTAAAGCTGCACAATGGGCTATCGGCGACGGTCTGGGAAACATCCCTGAGGATGATCCGAAGACATGCCAACACAATTTTGATCCTCTGCAGAGGGGATAGCACCTCCGCTTCGGTAGCTCGAAAACCTACACGCGATGCCGAGCGCTTTACGGTAGAACAGTTTACCGCACACCCTCGGTCCCTACGCAGACTGATCCAAGTGGTCACCCACCCTCACACTGACCGCAGCCAGTGATGCTTGACTTTGGTGATCTGCTGGGAGCCGTGTCTTAACGATCAGTCCACTGCGGGACTGTATTTTGTGTAGTAAACTATATGTCCAGTATGTATGGACCAAAAGTATGGACTAGGAAAGAAATTTCAAAAGATTGTTAGACGACTTATAAGATTATTCTTATACTCTACGATGCTGTGGCGTGACTACCATTACGATTATTAATCATCAATTGACTAGTATATAATACATACCAATTCAATTCAATCTTGAGGTACTTTTCGATAGATGAAGGTTAACTTTGTCGAATGCTCTTACCTCACATTGGTGACCCGGATGTGATATGATCACGCCTATTTCTATGGATAGGTTCACATTGAAAAGTTGACTTGCTATTTGTGACTGCTTCATCGTTCTCCTCACGCTGTTGCTTCTCAGTCTCATTCACACACAACAGGATCCTGCACACACTCTACTGCTTACAGCAACATAGGAGGGACCACACACACAACCCTGAATATAATACAACTCTCGCAACAAACGCTCAAATCGCGGTTGACTTAATACAGCTCTACGGGTCTCTCACAAATACGGTAACTAGTGTTATCCGTTCATCGAATTTTATCTTTGGTAAAATTCCGGGGGATGGGAGTAATGTGGTGTAACTATCATTGCGATTATTAACATTAATTCTCAGATTATCTCAATGATTCATTAAATTTAGCTAATAAACGCTGCAGTAGATGATAGATAAATAATGAAATCATAAGAAAACACACTGTAAACATAGGATGCATCCATTATTACGAGAAATTTCCTAGTCTCACAGTCAAAATCCTAACGTTAAAGATAGAAAAAGTGTATGTTTAAAACAAGTTAAAAATTACCAGCTATCCGCTGTTACCACTATGGATAGCATTTATCAGCAGTGCGGTTTCATAGATATTAATTTTTTTCATTTATGGTAACACAAAATTTTGTAATAATTAAAAAATAATAATGCAGGCGCACATTAAAATGCATTTGGAAGCAATTTCCACAAATAGAGTGCGTAATGTAGATACTTTTTTTTACTTGCTTTTCCTTTTTCTTTCTTTCTTTTATTTACAATTTCTCCATTTTGTAAAAAAACATAATAATAATCTTGAAACATTTTCATTACATTGGAGTCTTTCAATACGTAATTTATGATGGTAATTGATAAATGCAGTGTAAGTCCGTTATAACGACAATTCATAATAGCTTCTGATTTCGTTATAATAGCAAGCTTGTCGTTATAAACAAATACACATTTGTAATGTTAAAGTAAAAAAGACTAAAAAATGATTTACCACTTTTTTTTTTTTNTTTTTTTTTTTTTTTTTTTTTTTTTTTTTTTTTTTTTTTTTTTTGAAGGAATATTTGGAGTTAAAATAGATATCAAGACTAAAGTGCTTTTGTCTACAGAAGACTGAATTACGTAGCTCATGAAAGGCAGTACTTTCTACAACAGGAATGTTTGAACAACAGGATTCCAAGTCATAAAAATGTTTGGCCGAAAGAAAATGAAACGAAGTGCAATATTTTATGACGTTATTGATCAAAGTGAATTTCGATTTTAATATTACGTTGTTACAGGAGTCATGATAGATATGAGGTCAATAAAGGCGCATTCTTTTGAAGAGCAAAGCAGGATTTCTAATAATGGCAGAACTTTTTTTTTAATTGGGACGAAGATAACTTAGCAGGTGTGTGCACACACATTGCTTTATAAAAATAAAATTATAAGAATGAAACAATGTCCGTTTATCGCTTTTTTGCATTGATATCAGAAAGAAATAAAAATTTCTTTCTGATATCTATACAGAAAAGCGATAATTAAATTTAAACCTCCTTCATTCAATATTGCTCTCTTAAACAATGGGAAAATCCATAGAACATAAAACACTATGATATAATAGCGAAAGGCTAACAATTTTTAATTCGTTATAAGGATAAAATTTTTGTATCTTTAATATTAGAATTTTGATTGTGACTTTGAAATTTGTTGTAATCGTGAACTTCCCTTACTGTACTCGTTATATCGAACTTACACTGCATGTATTTATATGTTCTGATTTTCTCTTGAAATTACAATAATTTACTTGAAAATGTTAATGTATTATCTTAAAATATCTTAACATAAAAAATTTAAAAAAATATTATTTCTTGCTTTAAAAGCATTTTTTACCATTTTTTTAAAGAATTAATTATTTTTTAATCTTTTATTCTGGGTACTATTGTTTTGAAAATAAACACCTCTATGTATTTTCGTTTGACAATGCAATTTTTATAGTTAATACAATTCGAACCATTTTGCTTTTGTTTAAATGAGTTGACAAATAACAATTGTTGTAAATCCCCTTCCAATTGCATCAATTTTTAGATTCTTTTATACAGTTCCTCAGATTGGCAAAATACACAAAAATTGTAACTCCGTTCCTCTGCCTTAAATATAGGGACCATATTTTCCAGATCCCTGTTACTCTCGAATTTCGAGGGTCTAAAATCCAAATCAATCGGAAAAAAAACTATGCAATTCAGAGAATGTAGATTTTTACCTCTGATTTCGAAACTAATATCGTCGTCTCAAATTAATTTGCATATTTCAGGTCAATCCATTGAACTATTTACATTTCCCTGTGATGTATGAAAGTATTCCGTTTCTTACTTTATGCTCCGTTCACGTGAGATATTTTAAGTGCTGTTTAACAATCTTTCAGGAATTCCTAATGACGAGGATTCTCTATTATAACCAGTGAATAAAGATCATAAAAAATATTATCAAATACTTGAAAATTAATTCTATATAGAATTTAAAAAAATCTAAGTTGAGGAATATTTTAAGTTGCATTTGAGTAAAAATAACAAAAATAAATGAATAAATAAATAAAAAATAAAATAAAAGACAGAGTCATGGGGAGAGAGAGGGAGGGAGAAAGATGTTTGAAATGCGTGTAACGTCAGCAAGCAGTCTCCAGTTCTTTCGTAATATGGCAGAGCACAAAAGTAAATATTCTGTACTAATAGAGAATTTTTGCATGTTTTATGGAATGATACAGTATTTAAAAAACGTTACAATTACAATTTTTTTTAAAATTAAATTTTTGATTTATCGGAGGGGGAGGATACTGCAAGAGATTAAAATATACAATTTTCATTCTTCTATTTTATTTATTTTTATTTCATCATTCATCGTCCTTTTTCCTTTGAAGGGGAAGGGAAGGTACAACAAACTAATTTATCCATTTAATTAAGTTCAAAAAAATATACATGACATTACAAAAGATGTTAAAAGTTTGATTGCAAATTTAAATGTTCTCAAAATTGCGTAATTATTTTCACATATTTCCTTTTTAAAAAAACTGAGTTACTTGAGTAGTTTTATAAATCAGATAACTGATTTTTCCGGTTTTCTGAATCGGTATAAAAAGCTGTTTTTTTTATTGTTAAACCCAAATAAAAAAAAAATATTTGGAAATAATCTTAAAAAGAAGAAAAAACGATTAAGTAATATACTAATGATTATTTCCAAAATGATGGTAAGGTAAACATCTTTCAAAAAAGAAAGAAAAATCCTAAAATCTTATGAAGAAAAAAAACATTTTTTAAAAAAAATGGCGGGAAAATTTATCGAATTTTGTTCCGGGTTTTTGGTTTTCCGGTTTTCTGATTTCCGGATAACGGGTTCTGTACTGTAGTTTAATTTTCGAAGAATTTTATAATGCATAATAAGAATTCTTCCTCGACTGTTGGAATGACAGCCCTTTGTGGCCCAGAGCCTTTCCTAGACCATTCCTCCATTCTGCTCTTTTCCTTGCGATTGTTCTCCAGTTAGTAATTCTTAGGAATTTAAAATCCTCTTCCACACAGTCAAGCCATCTAACCTTAGGCTTATCTCTAACTCAAGTTTCCATTGGTTTGTAATTGAAGATCTTAAATGTCAAGGAAGAAGAATCCATTCGACAGATGTAGACCGAAAGCCTAAACCATAATAAAAATGATTAACTAATATTAGTTATTAAATTGTACAGAAGTATAGCTACTTAGGTGAAATTTAGTGGGCTGAAAACAACTTTCTATTTTTAAACTTAACTCA